CGCTGACAGCGGCACATTCCCTTCATGTCAGATCACGAACACACACACACACACACACACACACACGTTCTCACAGACGCACACTCAGGTGTTTTCACAGTGGTGGTTAGTGTCCTATTAAGTGTTTTTTTGTGTGTGTGTGTGTGTTGTTGTTGTTTTCTTGCGTTTTGACGGACGGCTGAAGACAAACAGGAAATATGGGAGTAGAGGGTTAGGGGTCAGAGGTCAGGAGTCAAACCTGTGATTAGGACTGCAGCCTCTGGACATAAACAGTCCTTTTACAAACCACCATGTTAACAGTATTAATCTGTGTTTTCCGTTGTCGTTCACTGACCTGCAGACGGTGTTAATCTCCGTTAAACTCTGTTTCGGTGTTGTGTTTAAGGACCCGTAAATGTCTGAATTGGACAGTATTTAAGTGGTGCGTTTACTGACCTGCAGACGGGTGTAAGTCTGTGTTTTGACGTTGTGTTGACTGACCTGCAGACATATATGTGGTTGTTTTTATTGGGGCGTAGCTGAGAGTTTGTAATTCCTCAGGTGAATCAGATTCCTGAGAGTGACAGCAGGTGAGGAGCGTTTGATTTGTTGTTCGTGGCGGTGGCGGTTGGTTTCACGTACTGAAGGATGAGATTATTGAGATCAGTTTAATGTGATCTGATAACGGAGATCAGATTCTTGTCATGTCTGTGATTCTGTCAAACCTTTGTGTAATGATCTGAAGACTGATCAATAACAGATGAAATAATTCTATCAGACTTTAGATGAAGATCAAATCCATCAGAGTTTTTCCTCTCTGTGTTTGTGTGAGGAGGAGCAGAGTCTTCAGCCGCACCGCTCACTTTCACTTTTTATCAGGTTACAGCCTGTGTGTGTGTGTGTGTGTGTGTGTGTGTGTGTGTGTGTGTGTGAGAGAGAGAGAGAGTGTACTATAGAGCACAGTTGACATCTGCGCACCAATTAACATTCCTCAGTCTCCAGCCTTTTGTTATGAGTTCATAATTTCCCATAATCTACTAGATTATCTCCGGATTAAACTGGCAAATAAAGTTGAAAAGAAATGCTGAGTAAAGACAAAGGTGTGTGTTAGTTTCAAATGGTAATGATTAGGCCTGTCACGATAACAAATTTTGCTGGACGATAATTGTGCTACAAATTATCGCCGATACACGATATTATTGACACCGTTTTTTAAATTATAGATAATGATATGAAATGGCATAATAATGCGAGTACACCGTGTCAAAAGTGATAAACTTTAATTTCACCCACGACGAAGACGTAACGTTGACGAGCTAAACATAAGTCGGAGATGACTAAAATGTGACGAGACGAAAGTGCGTTTACGTTGATGGGACGAGACGAAAATGACGAACAGAGTTGCAAAACTCAGTCAGTTAAACGCTAAACATATAGGAGCAGCTTCAGTCCGCTCTGACAGCTCTCATCAGCCTGCTGTGCTCCTCCAACACACAGACACACACGCACGCGCGCACACACGTGGAGTTTTGTGGTTGACGAAAACAAAACTGGTTTAAAGCCGAAATATTCCCACACTTGGGCTGTTGTTTGGTTTAGACACCAAAGCTGTCGTGTTCATTCTGTTAGCTTGCTTTTCACTCACGACGCTCACTTGCAGCACTGTATCCAAAAGTCTGTGTCTGTGTGCCTGTGCGCGCCTACGTGTACCTGCGCGCGCGCCCCCCGTGACAAAGATACTGAATGACTGACAGGAGGGTTCACTAACTCCGTTCATTCCGCTATAGAGCCAACGCCCCCAGGTGCCGAGAAAAATGCGCAGAGTGAGACCTCTTCTCTCATCCAGCGTGTTTGGTAGCGAGAGAGGAGGAAAACAAACGCACGTCAATTATCGAGGCTGGCAAAATGACCGACCATGTTTCAATTTACCGAGCGATACGGCGATTTATTGATTATCGCGACAGGCCTAGTAATGATGATAAAAGTAAAGATGATGATGATGATGATGATGTGATATTAATGATAAAATGATGATGATGATGGTGATGAGGGTGGAGAAAATGACAAAGATGAGGATGAAGAGGAAGACAATGGTGATAAAAATGATATAAAGTAATGATAACAGTAATATGATGGTGATATTTAGAGAATAATGGCTATAAAATGAGCATTGATGAGCCAGATAATGGTGACAAAGTGATTAAATGGATCGATGATGATGTTGATGAGGGTGATAATGGAGATATAAGTAACCATGGTAATGCTGAGGACGCTCCTGGTGTTGATAATGATGGTGCTGATGAGGATGATGGTGGTGATATGATAATGATTATGTGACAACAGGGATAACGGTGATAATTATGAGGGTGACGATGGTTATGAGGTGTTGAAGATAGGGTTAATGATGATAATGACGAAGATGATGATGAGTAAAGGTAGGGATATGGTGATAACGATTATGTTATGCGATAACGACAGGCATAATGGGGATGATGAGGATGAGGTGATGAAGATAGGGGTTATGGTGATAATTGTGATGGTGATGATGAGGATGATGAAAGGGATGAGTGTGATGATGATGATGATGATGATGATGATGGTGATGATAAAGATGAAAATGTTTGAATGTCATGAATTAGTTTCTTGTTGTTGGTCTGTAGCTGTTAGCATGTTAGCATGTTAGCCTGGTGTATCAGGTATCACTGCTCCTGTCCAGGTGCTCGGTGTGGAGACTCTCAGGTGAGTCACAGGTGATCTTTGTTGGGAGCAGAGCTGCAGTAAAATCAGCCAGTTTATCAACAGAGAATTTCCAGTTATTCAAATCCAGATTTGCATTCTTAGCAGACCGATGTAGAACTGAGTCTGTCTCTGTGTCACACCGACAGCTCTACATGAGCTCACTCTGACATTACAGCTTCAGCTTTAGCCTCGTACCGCCTGTGGGTCGGTCACTGAGTGTCAATCAGGTAAAATAACACGATGTGAGCGAATCATCCTCCCCAGGCTGTGTTCGACAAGAAACACTTCTGTTACAGACACTTGTCTTACTTTGTTAAAGCGGTTTACCTGTCCAGCAGAAAGGTTACAGGGTCACCAAGATCCCCAAGCGTCCCCCATCGTTTATGTTGACCCGGCTTTTTAGCTCTTGTCCGGTCTACCTCCGTTTTAAGCGCCCGTTATTCCTCCAGAGTCTCCGGTATTTACTTTGTTTTCTTGCTTGTGTCGGCAGTCGTGGCCAAAGGAGGATTCAGACAATTTTCCGAACTTTCTGGTTGGTTTCTACTGTCCGATATTGTAGCACGCTAACTTTGTTTGGGCTCCTGAACGACACGGGGGAGCAGCATTTTCTTGTTGACTGTTTTCTTGCTGACTGTTTTGGTGTTGACTGTTTATGGTTGACTGTTTTCTTGCTGACTGTTTATGTTTGACTGTTTTCTTGCTTGTGTCGGCAGTCGTGGCCAAAGGAGGATTCAGACAATTTTCCGAACTTTCTGGTTGGTTTCTACTGTCCGATATTGTAGCACGCTAACTTTGTTTGGGCTCCTGAACGACACGGGGGAGCAGCGTCTGCCTCACAACCAATCAGGTTAGAGGAGGTGGAGAACGGCTTTGTTTACAGTCAGAAAGAGCGGACCGCTCAAAAATGTTCAAATGTTGACGACACAGACATAAGAGAACACAGAGATATCGATATATTACCAAATGTCATCAATAACTAATAACTATTAACTGATATTCAAAGATTTTTTGTTTATACACCACAAAATAAAAAGATGCCGACTCCACCTTTATTCTGTAAAACCTCAGATCCAGTGTGAACTCTGAGACTGTCTCTAAGTACGATTCCTGACTGAGAGTCTTTCTTTACTTCCTCACTGTGCAGCACCAAATCACAGTGATTCATACCGGCGTCTCAGTGTATGAAAACACACACACGCACACACACACACACACACACACACACACACACACACACACACACACACACACACAGTTGTGTGACTCAGTTTCTCTTCATGCTGATGAAATCTGTGGAGCTGACTCAGCGTTTACTCTCTTCACCTGCTCAGGTGTGTGACCGTTATTATACCTGAGTCAGTCCACACGCTTAGTGTCGTCACCATGGCAACCAGACCGATACACCTCATCTCTAAATAGAGAGGAGCAACTGTGTGTGTGTGTGTGTGTGTGTGTGTGTGTTTCCTGCAGACAGTCAATCTGGAGGATGACTGATTCAGTCGTCTTCCTATGAGTCTGACCTGCGACCCGTGAAAAGGCTGCAGTTTCCTGTCACGTGACCTTAACAGGTTTCAGTGTTTGTGTCGCCCCCTCATGTCACAATAACTCAACTAAAAATAAAAGTAACAGGTAGATAATCCTCTGAACCTGGATGGCATTCATGAATGAACTTTTTACTTTTTTATTTGGATGCAGTTTATTATTTACCTCCTCAGTGTTGAGTGTGTTATAGTTTCCTCAGTGTGTTGAGTGTGTTATAGTTTACTCAGTGTGTTGAGTGTGTTATAGTTTCCTCAGTGTGTTGAGTGTGTTACTGAACGACACTGTGTCGAAGGCTCTGCAGTATAAAAGTGTTGCTTATGGTTTTGTTCTCTCTGGCTCGTAGTTGATCTTATGTCTGAATGGCGGTTTTGTTGGAGGCGTCCAAGGACTTCCTGTGATGGGAGTGTGTTTTTTTTCAGCTGGTCTGGGGTCTGGAGAGTGTTAGAGGAATTTTGTGTGTTTATGAGGACCTAATGTCTGTAAAAACAAACAAACGCTGAATAAGAGCGACTGAAAGGAGCTTTTGTTCGAGAGAATTAGTCTTTCAGTGAATTGAAAACCTCAAAGGCCGTGAGGCAGTCAGCTCGAGTCCTTACAAAGCTCTCAGTGTGTGTGTGTGTGTGTGTGTGTGTGAGTGTGTGCAGATAAAAAGTGTGTATTCTCCATGGTTTACCTCCTCACCTCATGTGTTGATCTAAAGTATTAAAATGAGTTTATGTTAAGCGGCGATTAACTTTTACTGTCAGTTTTTTACCTGAACATAAATAATCTGATATTTTATTTTGTTCAGTTTGAGGCTGATATCAAATCTAATCTGAAATCTCCTTCAGATTAGGATTTCTTAAAAGGGTTTGTGTTTTGATAGAATTAGATTATGATAGAGGATTAATCTGAAAGTAAGGATAATCATAATCGTAAACAATAATCCAGTTGTTTTTTAGGTCTTTTCTAATCTCTAATCCAGTTTGTTTTTAAAGGCGTTTTCTAATCTCGAATCTGGTTTGATGTTTTCAGGTGTTTTCTAATCTCTAATCCAGTTTTAGTTTACAAGTGTTTTTTTAATCTTGAATCCAGTTTGATGTTTTCAGGTGTTTCTTAATCTCTAATCAAGTTTTAGTTTTAGATGTTTTCTAATCTCTAATCCAGTTGTTTCAGGTGTTTCTATTCTGTAATTCGGTTTGTTTTTTCAGGTGTTTTTTAATCTCTAATCAATTTAAAACTTTAGGTGTTTTCTAATCTCTAATCCAGTTTTAGTTTACAAGTGTTTTTTTTTTTAATCTCTAATCCAGTTTGATGTTTTCAGGTGTTTTCTAATCCCTAATCCAGCCTGAATCTTGCAGGTGTATCTAATCCCTGCAGGCTCAGGCTGAGCTGAACTGGTTTCTCTCTGGTTACTGGTCTGGTCTGGTGCGCTGGTTTCGGAGCTCTTGGCGTGAGCGTGTAAAAAGAGGAATGTGACCTCAGAGAAATAAAATGTCAGACAGAAGGCATGCTGGGAGCTGCGCGTTACCGCGGTTACACAGGGTGTCTGCTGTCATGGAGCTGCAGAGACTTTTTCTGCTCAGAGATTTTAGAGTTTTGACTTTAATGTTAAAATGAAAATCAAACATGATGTTACAGGATTATTATAGACTCCGCCTCCTCTGTTTTGACACACACCTTTACCTTCTCTTCACCCTCACCGTATTATCAGACATATTATCAACATGGATGAATACATTTCTGATGAGGTATTGATTTTCCATTATTGAATATAGATGATGATAAACAGTGAGCAAACTGAAGATGAAATGTGTTCATAAACTTAAAATGATGAATAATGATGAGATGAAACTGTCCTCTGTAAAAAATAAAACTAAAAGATAAAAATAAAAACAGAATCTGACAAATTAAAGTCAGATTGGAGATGTTCAGTTTCATCTGTCAGAATAAGTACGTTAAAGTTAGTCAGTTCTCTGTAATCTGTTGAAATAATCTGAGTCCTGTGGAGTTTGAACAGCAGAGATTATGTTTGTCAGTGTTTGAATATTTAAAACTGTTTCCTCTGAGTTTACCTTAACTGTGTTTGTTTACTGTGTGTGTGTTTACCGTGTGTGTTTATGTGTTCCTCAGGTGGATGGAGGCGTGTCTCGACGAGGAGTTACCGCCCACAACAGAGTTGGAGGAGGGGCTCAGAAACGGCGTTTATTTGGCCAAACTGGGAAACTTCTTTGCTCCACGAACCGTCTCCCTAAAAAAGATCTACGACCGCGAACAGACAAGATACAAGGTGAGACTAACCCACTCAAGACTAACCCACTCAAGACTAACCCACTCAAGACTAACCCACTCAGATACAAGGTGAGACTTTTGCTGCGTTCGAGTTTCCTCAGAAGTCAGAAGTCCGATCTGAAAATGACGTCACACTTGAGTTCCCAGCGTTTCAGTTACCAAGTCAGAATAAAAGCAGAATTAGAGGCTGAAACAAGATGGAAACATCTATGAAAGTTATTTTAGAGCTCTCGCCTTGTCTGAATATAAGGCAAACTCTAAAATAACTTTCGTTTGCTTTTTTCCAACTTGCTTAGTGAAATGCTGGGAGCTCGGGTGTGACGTCATTTTCAGCTCCGACATTCTGACTTCTCAAATGCAGCAAAAACCCACTCAGATCAGAGGTGATCTATTTAAAAGCCTCGATAAAAACATGTCTGAGGTCAGTCTGTTTTGATTTTTCTATTTTTTGTTTGTTTTTATTATTTCAGGCGACCGGTCTCCATTTCAGACACACTGATAATGTCATTCAGTGGCTAAATGCCATGGCAGAGAAAGGACTGCCTAAGGTACGCACACAGAGACACATACACACACACGCACGCACACACACACACACACACACGCTCTAACTATTTTTATTTTCTCTTTTCTTTCAGATTTTTTATCCTGAAACCACCGACATCTATGACAGAAAGAACATGCCACGCTGCATCTACTGCATCCACGCCCTCAGGTCTGTGTGTGTGTGTGTGTGTGTGTTAACCTCTGTGTGTGTTTGTGATATTGATTATCTCAAAGTTTGATACTTAAACCCAAGACTGCACAGATTACTGAGTTGAGTTCTGTATAACTGATTTTAACACAAACAGAAAGGTAGTTTGAGTTTTTTAGATGATTTATTTGCTGTAAAAAAGCCTCCTGGCTTTGTGACAGCAAACATTTCTTACTGAGACTTTAATCCTCCAATCCACCAAACAACACCGAGCTAAAGCCAGCAGCTGAATCAGCGGTTCGACAGGTTAAAAAAAAAGGCGGTTTCTTCAAACTCAGATTCTGGAGTATCCATGTTTCTAAAATTTAGGATTTGATGTTTACCTGCACAAACCCAAAGACAGGAAACTGAAAAACCTGATTATAACAGTGACAGTTCGTCCCTGTAGCAGGTAATAAAGTCTGACGTGTGTTTCAGTCTGTACCTGTTCAAACTGGGACTGGCGCCTCAGATCCAGGATCTGTACGGGAAGGTGGACTTCACAGGTAAGTCTGAGGCTCACCTTTCTGAACCTGGACAACACTCAACATGCCGTCACACTGCATCGTTACCATGACGATTAAATGTCCTTCCCACCCCCTCACAGAGGAGGAGATCAATAACATGAAGAGTGAGCTGGAGAAATACGGGATCCAGATGCCGGCCTTCAGCAAGATCGGAGGGATCCTGGCCAACGAGCTGTCAGTGGACGAGGCTGCATGTAAGTGTGTGTGTGTGTGTGTGTGTTAAAGTAATTCTGCATTAGCACATATTAAAGTGGTGACAGTGTTGTGATGATAATGATGGGATGACAGTCATACAGCGTAAAAAAAAGTGATGATAATGATGTCATGGTAATAACAACAGGTCCTTTAAGTGACTGTTTGATAATGGTGATAATAAAGAGGTGACGAAGTGATATGATGATGGAAACGAGAGTTAAAGTGGAAACTGTGTAGTTGGTCACAGTGGTAAAATTGATAATGTAGTAACAGTACGAACAGTATATCAGGAGTACAGAAAGGTAAGTGATAATGGCGCTGCAGTGAGTCGTAATGTTGTGACAGGTGATAAGGAACACTGCATCATGGTGATAAACGTGATAATGCAGTAACAGTGATAATGATATCAGTTATAACAGTGATAATGCAGTTAGTTATAATGGTGATAATGCATAAACAGCAGAAACAATGATAATATTTACAGAAATAACAGTAATAATGCAGCCATGGTAATAAAGGTGGTTTTACAGTTAGTTATTACAACGATAATGCATGAAACCAATCATAGTGATAATGCAGTTAGTTATAATGGCGGTGATACAAGACCAGCTATAATGGTGATAATGCAAGAACAGTTTTGACAGTTAAGTAGTCAGTTAGTTATAATAGTGATAATGCATAAACAGCAGTAACAATGATAACAGTTACAGAAATAACAGTAATTATGCAGCCATAGAAATAAAGGTGGTAATACAGTTGGTTATTACAATGATAATGCATGAAACTAGTTGCAGTGATAATGTAGTTGCAATAATAAATTTAAAGTATAATAATGATAAAGCAGTTAGATTAATAACAGTGGTATGCAATGACAGCTATGACTGTGATAATGCAGTTTTAGTGATAACAGTAATAATGTAATTACATTACTAACAGTGATAATGCAGTTTTAATGATAACAGTGATAATGCAGTTTTAGTAATAACAGTAATAATGTAATTACATTACTAACAGTGATAATGCAGTTTTAATGATAACAGTGATAATGCAGTTTTAGTAATAACAGTAATAATGTAATTACATTACTAACAGTGATAATGCAGTTTTAGTGATAACAGTAATAATGTAATTACATTACTAACAGTGATAATGCAGTTTTAGTGATAACAGTGATAATGCAGTTTTAGTGATAACAGTGATAATGCAGTTTAAGTGATAACAGTGATAATGCAGTTTTAATGATAACAGTGATAATGCAGTTTTAGTGATAACAGTGATAATGCAGTTTTAGTAATAACAGTAATAATGTAATTACATTACTAACAGTGATAATGTAATTACATTACTAACAGTGATAATGCAGTTTTAGTGATAACAGTGATAATGCAGTTTTAATGATAACAGTAATAATGTAATTACATTACTAACAGTGATAATGCAGTTTTAGTGATAACAGTGATAATGCAGTTTTAATGATAACAGTAATAATGTAATTACATTACTAACAGTGATAATGCAGTTTTAGTTATAACAGTGATAATGCAGTTTTAATGATTACAGTGATAATGCAGTTTTAGTGATAACAGTGATAATGCAGTTTTAGTGATAACAGTGATAATGCAGTTTTAGTGATAACAGTGATAATGCAGTTTTAGTGATAACAGTGATAATGCAGTTTTAATGATAACAGTAATAATGTAATTACATTACTAACAGTGATAATGTAATTACATTACTAACAGTGATAATGCAGTTTTAGTGATAACAGTGATAATGCAGTTTTAATGATAACAGTAATAATGTAATTACATTACTAACAGTGATAATGCAGTTTTAGTGATAACAGTGATAATGCAGTTTTAATGATAACAGTAATAATGTAATTACATTACTAACAGTGATAATGCAGTTTTAGTTATAACAGTGATAATGCAGTTTTAATGATTACAGTGATAATGCAGTTTTAGTGATAACAGTGATAATGCAGTTTTAGTGATAACAGTGATAATGCAGTTTTAGTGATAACAGTGATAATGCAGTTCCTATAATAAGCAGTGGTTATGTCGTCACAGTGGTTGTTGGTATTATCTGCCTATAGAGAACTCACTGGTTACATGACTACTCTGCTATTCAGTGATTATTGATTAATGAATTTTTATTACAGCTGTGATGGTGTTAGCTTAGCATGTTAGCATCACAATCTGACTGTTACCACGGAAACCGTTAACATTGTTAAACTTATTAACTTCCTTTCCTTCTCCACGTCACCTTTTCTTCAGTGCACGCCGCCGTCATCGCCATCAACGACGCCATTGATCATGGCGTTCCTGAGGGAACGCTGGCCGCCATGCAGAACCCAAACGCCATGCTGGTTCAACTGGACCCGTCCTGTGCCGAGCAGTACCAGCAGACTCTGTACCAGGCCAAAGGAGAGAAGGTGGCGCGCTCACGAAAACGGGTACGAAGGGTTCGAGGGGGAAGGATTTAACAGAAAGATATAAGAGGATGATGATGATGATGATGATGAGGAGGGTGTGGATTAGGATTATCAGGACAATGAGGACCAAATGTCGGCCATTTTTGTCTGAAACTGTAGATGGAGAATACCGATGCAGAGACCGACATCTACGACGAGCTGCTGACACAAGCTGAGATACAAGGAAACGTCAACCAGGTCAACGGTACGACACATGCACACACACACACACGCACATGCACAGTGTATTGTTGATATGGTTTCCATGGTAACGGTGCTTTCCCTGCCCTCTCAGTGGCCGTGGCTCTGTCTGCAGCTGAGCGCGCTCTGCTCAGTGGAGACGAAGATAAACTGTTTGAGGCTCTGAAGGCGATGGGGATCCAGAACCTGCAGAACCAGAACAAAAGCTGGTACCTGAAACAGCTGCAGGCTGACAGAGAGGGCAAGGAGCAGGTGAGGAAGAGGAGGAGGAGGAGGAGGAGGAGGAGGAAACATGATCAAAGTGATGAGGATGATTTTTAAAGTGAGGAAGAGTCACTCATGACCTCCTCTTCATCAACAGGGATCTCCAGGAGAACCTCTGACCAAAGACGAGCTGCAGAATGGAGTCGATGTGGCCAATCAGATCGCAGAGAACTACGCAAAGTGTAAGCACACACACACACACACTGATCACACTCCAGCCCACTCCACCTGTGGAGGAACCTCTGTGAGAACAATCATCGTTTATTCCCTTAAAGGCAGAACAGCTCTGTCGTCTGTGTCAGGATGCAGATTAAAAGAAGTCTTTGTGAGTCTGTGCGTACCTGTGAGTTCATACCTGTGTGTGTCTGAATGTGTGTGTATGGCTCTGTGTGTGACAGTGTTGAGGGCGGTGCAGAAGATCAACGCCGCGATCAGAGCGGGCGTCGCCGAACAGACGGTGGAGGAGCTGATGAATCCTGATGCTCAGCTGCCCGAAGTTTATCCGTCTGCTGCAGATCTTTACCAGAGAGAGCTGATGAGCCTGCAGCAGCAGAGCCCTGAGGTACACACACACACACACACACACACACACACACACACACACACACACACACACACACACACACACACAGAGTGAAAGGTTTATTCATGATACGATCACAGAAACATGTTTTATCATCATCAGACCCTCAGATCAACCTCTGCTCCTCCACGCAGTTTCTCACTCTGCCAGCTCGATGTCTAAAGTGTGTGTGTGTGTGTGTGTGTGTGTGTGTGTGTGTGTCCCGCAGGGTGAGCTGTCTCACCCGGAGCTCCTGGTTGCCGTGGAGATGCTCTCAGCTGTGGTTCTGATGAACGAGGCGTTGGAAGTCGGAGACCGAGCGGCTCTGTGGAAGCAGCTGAGCAGCTCAGTGACGGGACTGAGCAACGTGGAGGACGAGTACGCTCAGAGGTGCGCCCCCTACAGGTCTACATGAGAAACTGTTAGAGTAGATCAGCATGATGAGCAGCTCTGAGGACTCATTATTGATCTCATTCTCTAGTGTCTGTGAAAAACCAAATCTCAGCTCCATTCAGTCTCGTCACTTTGGCTTTTCCACTGATAGAGTTGGACACAGTGGGGTCTTACTTTTTACACATGAGAGTCATGAGAGTCTGGACTTCACAGAAAAACTCAAGGCTAGATGTTGGAGTCCACTTGGCTCTCTGTATGAAAGTTTATTTATTTCAGTAATTCTGTGAAAAAAGTGAAACTCTGCGGATCGCCGGACTCCTCAGCTGATCACAAGAGTTCTATTTTTTCTGGACGCCGGAGCATGGCGGATAAATTCAGCACAGATTAACCCGTGCTGGAAAGGAAGTCGGGCACAGACACAAAATAAAACATCCGGCTTCTTTTCAAAATAAAACACGAACGACGAACAAGTGAAAGGTTTTTAGACGTCATTTCACCCCGATGACACCATGGATGAGGAGATGCTGATTCTAGAAGTCTAGAAGTAGATTTCCTCCTCTGGAAGGACACAATCTACTGCTTATATGTCTATGTGTCGGTCTTTAGAGAGACAACTCGTTATCGCACAATTGCACGTGAATCCTGCTGTCTGTAATCCGCCACAAAATTCGCCTCAAAATCGTTTCTGGTGGGAATAGGTGAACAGCGAAAATCGCCGGCGTTCCAGATCGGAGCCGTTCCGATCACACACAGACTGATTTACTTCAGTGTTCATTTATTTTCATCTTGGTGATTGTAACTTAAAACTCCGCTGACGTCCTGAAAACATCCAAACTGTTTTTTCTGGAGCCTTCCTCTTCGAGAAGACGAGAGCCGAATAAGGACAGAGATGATGTCAGATGTTTCCTTCAGGAGAAACTTTAATGAGATCAGGAACAAAAAAACAGGATCATGTTTGAAAAAATCACAATCTGCATAACCACCAGATCACTATACATAATCCCCTTCCTGTGAGTCATTAATGTGACTGTGTGTGTGTGCGTGTGTGTGTGTGTGTGTGTGTTCAGGTACATGGATGAGTTGATGCGTCTGAAGGCGGCGGCCAGAGAACAGGGCTGTGACTATCTCACCTGGAACGACATTCAGGCGTGTATCGACCAGGTGAACCTGACCGTGCAGGAGGAGCATGAGCGTAAGAAACACACACACACACACACACACACACACACACACACACACACACACACACACACACACACACACACCGGCTATACAAACAGAGTAAATGTGTGTTTGCAGGTATCGCAGCCATCGGTCTGATCAACGAGGCTCTGGATGAAGGAGATCCGATGAAGACTCTGGCCATGCTGCAGAACTCTTCGGCCAAACTGACCGACGTGGACCCGGCTCTGGCTCAGCACTACCACGACATCCTGCTGGAGGCCAGGCGCGAGAAAGCCCACGTAAGAACATCCTCAGTTTCAATTTCCATAGGTTTATCGGCTGTTTGAACAGTAGGAACAACTTTGATATCAATAACAACAACACAACAATAACAACATCTTCACCTGACCGTAAAATCCACTCACTTCCTGAGAGCGGCGGCGGCGGTCAGGTGATGACCTCTGAGTGTTTCAGGAGAAGATCAGAGTGTCTCCTCTAAAGCTGAGGTCACTCAGGTCAACAAACACTTGAGTTTTACAAAAATACAAAAACACAAAAACAAACTTTCTGTTTTTATTCTCTTCGATCGAGAAAAAGGAGAAAAAAAAAAGTTTCCTGTTCAGACGGAGGAAAAACAATCAGGCTGAGTGTGTGACCATATAAGGACAAAACACTGACCACTGAGGTTAATGAGCCCATAACACACACACACACACACACACAAATACACACACACAAACACACACACTGTGACACACACACACACCGTGCTGTTGGCTGTTTTGAAGGTGATGAGGTAATGACAGGAAGTGGTTAGAGCAGCTGAACTTCCTGTTTCTGAGTTTTAATGGAGCTGAAGAAACTGAAGGATGGAGGCTCCGCCCCTTTTTTCCTCTTTTTCCTCTTTTCTCTCTCTCTTTCTTCTCTCTTTCTTTTTTTTCTCCCCCCTCTCTCTCTCCTCTCTCTTCCTTCCCCCTTTCTTCCCTCTCCCCTCCATCTTCCACCTCTCTCTCCCTCTCTCTTTCTTTCCTCTGTTTTTCTTTAATCTCTCTCTCTTTCCTCTCTCCCTCTTTCTTCCCCCTCTCTCTCTCCCTCTTGCTTTCCTTTCCTCCCTCATTCTCTCCTCTCTCTTTCCTTGCTTTCTTTTTCCTTCCCCTTCTTTCTCCCGCTCTCTTCCTCTCTCTCCTCTCTCTCTCTTTTTCTCTCCCTTTTCTTTCCTCCCTCTCTCTTTCCTCCCTCTTTCTTATTTCCCCCTCTCTCTTTTTCTCCCCCTCTCTCTCTCTCTCTCTGAAAGTTCCTCCTGTTGATAAAGTTCTCAGAACCAGATCCTAGTTTCTCCTTTTAGACCTGGGGGGGGGGGGGGTCTGAGAGGATCCTCGCGGCCCTGAACTACACACACACACACACACACACACACACACACACACACACACACACACACACACACACACACACACCTAAGAGTGTCTCACACACTCACAATCTCTTCAGGTGTCTGCAGAGTTTTTCTAGATTTGTTGTTGTTTTTTCTGTTGTTGTGTTACTGTACTGTTGTGTGTGTGTGTGTGTGTGTGAAGTGTGGCACAGAGTGAGTCTGTTACTTTGGCGTCAATAAAAAACTATGGCGGGATGAAAAACTCTCACTTCCTGTTTCCATGGAGTCATGCAACGTGTTTGAACTCCAGCGAGCTCCACCCAACCCCCCGAAACACACAAACACACACACACACACACACTTAACACACACACAGAACACACACCACACCCTGTCTAAAGTGACTTACACCACCAACTAATGCCAATCAGACACACACACACACACACACACACACACACACACACACAGCTTCTCTTTTCTCTCCCTGTCCTTGCATGAAGGGGGCGGGGCTTGTTTGGGGGGTTTCCTGTTTCAGCAGCATCCTCTCCGCCCTCACTTACACGGACAGAGAGCGCCCTCTGTGTGCAGAGAGGTGGAACTACACCTCAACGCAACAGCTCTGATATGACTGTTTGTGTACGCATGTGTGTGTGTGTGTGTGTGTGTGTGTGTGTGTGTGTGTGTTCATTCGCATCTTAAAATGTGTGCGACTCTCTTGTCCAATCAGGAGACTCAGGATCCGTCAGCTGTTCTGTGGTTGGATGAAATTCAGAACGCCATCCTGAGAGCCAATCAGGACACCAAGGAGGCCTTGCTGTGTGAGTGTGCACATTCATAGCACACACACACACACGCACGTGCACACACACACAAACGTGTCAGAGCTGTTCCAGTGAAGATTTCAGGGATCAGGACAACATTTCTCCTCAGACGAACTTAAATATCAGTTTTTATCATGAACAGAGATTCGACTCGATGTTGGAGACGATGTGGGGAGAAGAATCAGGCCGATCATGTTCATGTTTTTGTAGATGCTTTGGTTTTATACCTTATTGTCAGGAGATAAAGAAGAGGATGGAAAACATTTTAAAACTTCCACTTAGATGTAAAATTTATATCTGTGAAAAAGAGAAGGTCAGGAGAAAAACACAGATTTACAGTCATGTTGATGACGCTAAAAAGGTCATCAGTAGAAACCGTCTAAAAACAGATGAACCAAAAATGGAGGATTGGGTCGAGGTAATTGATCGATGAATACAGAATCAGGAGACGCTGATTTTCTCATCTCCACTAAAAACAGAAACTTTTAAAATCTCCTGGAAAAACTGGGTTGATTTAGTGTCTCAGACTTTGTGCAGTGAAGACAGTGTGTATTATCGATTATTGATCCCCTGGGTTCAAACTTGTTTATTCTGTTTATTCTATTTACCCTCCAACAGGAGAAAAGAGACGATGAGAGAGAGGAGTGAAAAAAGGACATGAGTGAAAAGTGATTTTACTTCACAGTTTTTCTACTTTAACTTTACTGAAGGAGTTTATGTCCAACTCTGTCTCTGCTCCACCGTGGACAAATATTATATACAGAGTCACTCGCAGGTGTAGACTCACAGAAACCTGCTGGGTCTGAGAAATAACGTGAATTTCTGTCTTTCTCTCCGTCTCTCCGTCCTTCAGTCTCTCAGTCCATACAGGAAGTGAATGAGGCGGTGGATTCAGGTGAGCCGGCTCGGACTCTGGCGGCTCTGCGTAACCCGGGAACAGGACTTTACGGGGTCACCTCAGAGTGTGCGCAGACCTACCAGGACGACCTGTCCGCCATCAAAGAGGACAAGAGGAAGGAGGGTGAGGAAGGAGGGAGGAAGGAGGGAGGGCTGGGAGGACAGATGTGGTCATGTTTTAGGTGGGGGGGTTTAAACTGACAGGTTTAAGTGACGGACCGACCCGATGACCCGATGACCCGATGAATGACGGATCACTGAGCTGTGCTTCTCACAGGTCCAATAACCTGTCTGTGTCTGTGTCTGTGTGTCTCCTGTCTGTGTGTCTCCTGTCTGTGTGTCTTTTGTCTGTGTGTCTCCTGTCTGTGTCTGTGTCTGTGTGTCTTTTGTCTGTGTGTCTCCTGTCTGTGTCTGTGTGTCTCCTGTCTGTGTATGTGTCTGTGTGTCTTTTGTCTGTGTGTCTTTTGTCTGTTTGTCTCCTGTCTGTGTGTCTCCTCTCTGTGTGTCTTTTGTCTGTTTGTCTTTTGTCTGTGTGTCTCCTCTCTGTGTGTCTTTTGTCTGTGTGTCTCCTGTCTGTGTGTCTTTTGTCTGTGTCTGTGTGACTCCTGTCTGTGTGTCTTCGTCTGTGTGTCTTTTGTCTATGTGTCTCCTGTCTGTGTCTGTGTGTCTTTTGTCTGTGTGTCTTTTGTCTGTGTCTGTGTGTCTCCTGTCTGTGTGTCTTTTGTCTGTGTGTCTCCTGTCTGTGTCTGTGTGTCTTTTGTCTGTGTGTCTTTTGTCTGTGTGTCTCCTCTCTGTGTGTCTTTTGTCTGTGTGTCTCCTGTCTGTGTGTCTTTTGTCTGTGTCTCCTGTCTGTGTGTCTTTTGTCTGTGTCTGTGTGTCTCCTGTCTGTGTGTCTTTTGTCTGTGTGTCTCCTGTCTGTGTGTCTCCTGGCTGTGTCTCCTGTCTGTGTGTCTCCTGTCTGTGTCTGTGTCTGTGTGTCTTCGTCTGTGTGTCTCCTGTCTGTGTGTCTGTGTGTCTCCTGTCTGTGTGTCTGTGTGTCTCCTGTCTGTGTGTCTCCTGTCTGTGTGTCTTTTGTCTGTGTCTGTGTGTCTCCTGTCTGTGTCTGTGTCTGTGTCTGTGTGTCTCCTGTCTGTGTGTCTTTTGTCTGTGCGTCTTCGTCTGTGTGTCTCCTGTCTGTGTGTCTTTTGTCTGTGTGTCTCCTGTCTGTGTGTCTCCTGTCTGTGTGTCTCCTGTCTGTGTCTGTGTCTCCTGTCTGTGTCTGTGTCTGTGTGTCTCCTGTCTGTGTGTCTCCTCTCTGTGTGTCTTTTGTCTGTGTGTCTCCTGTCTGTGTCTGTGTCTGTGTGTCTCCTGTCTGTGTGTCTCCTGTCTGTGTGTCTCCTGTCTGTGTGTCTTTTGTCTGTGTGTCTCCTGTCTGTGTGTCTCCTGTCTGTGTGTCTCCTGTCTGTGTGTCTTCGTCTGTGTGTCTGTGTCTGTGTGTCTCCTGTCTGTGTCTGTGTGTCTTTTGTCTGTGTGTCTTCGTCTGTGTGTCTCCTGTCTGTGTTTTAGGAGATAACGGCAGTGAGTGGGTGAAGCACTGGGTGAAGGGGGGACACAATTATTACTTCAACCTGAACACCAAGGAGGGGACGTGGGCGGAGCCTGAGGGCTTCATCCAGAACAACACACAGCTGGACAAGGAGGACATCCAGGTGAGTGTGTGTCTGTGCTCAGTTTTAACACACACACACACACACAGACACACACAGACACGCTTCATCACTTCATCGCTAACTCGCGGCGTCTCTCCCGCCAGTCTGTGGTTTCCGGGGTAACCACAGCTTACAACCGGGAGCAGTTATGGCTGGCCAATGAGAATCTGATCACCAAGCTGCAAGCTCGCTGCCGTGGTTACCTGGTGAGAAAAAGTCAAAAGGAGCGAATGGACTTCCTGAAATCCCAGGGACCAGCTGTTACCTGCATACAGGTGAGACACACCTCAGTACAGGTGAGGCCGACACGGTGACCTCTGTCCTGAGAGGTGTGTTCAAGGTCAGGAGGTCATGTGACGATGGCTCTGAATTATTTAATGATCTGTAACTCTATGTGTGTGTGTGTGTGTGTGTGTGTGTGTGTGTGTGTGTGTGTGTGTGTTTTCAGGCTCACTGGAAAGGACACAAACAGAGGAAGAAGTTTAAAGACCGTAAACAGTACCTGAAGGACCACAACGATGAGGTGGTGAAGGTAAAGTTTGAACCTGAATATCTTGGGTTTCATCGTTTCTCTCGTCTGCTAAACTCAACATTATTAATCTGAACTAAATTTGACCTAATTTAACTAAACTTTACTGCACCTGATTCAACTTCAAACACAACTAGGCTTTAATAACTAAATGAACCTAAACTCTACGTTGACTAAATTCAAGTTAACTTCGCTGCACGTAAAACAAAACTCATCCCAGCTTTACTTAATCGAATTAAACTTAAACTTAACTAAGCTTAACTTAACTGAACATAATCCAGCCCTACGTTACCAAATCATCTGACTTAACAAAACTGAGCTTAACTCAACACAACTGAACCTGGATAACCTTCACTAAACTAAACTGAACTGAATTAAGTTTAATTAAACTCAACTTTACAAAACAGAAATAAACTGAACCAAACTGGACTTTGATGAAGAAAACTCTACCAGTTTGTTCACTTGTGTGTTTGTTTATTTGTGTGTTTATTTGTGTGTGTGTTTGTGTCTCAGATTCAGTCCATGGTTCGGATGCATCAGGCTCGGAAAAAGTACAAAGACCGTCTGAAGTATTTCCAGGATCATGTGAGTCTGACATTAAAAATAAAAACAGCTGCTGATTCACTTTGTTCAGATTATTTTACTCTGATTTAGTTTTATATTTAAATTTGTTTTTATATTTAGGACTGTGTTTTAACTTTATTTTTAATATTCTCTCATCTTGATTAACTTCGTTGTGATTCACTCTTTTTTTAATTTAATTTAATTTTAACTTAATAAAGTCCTTTTTGACTCAGTTATTTTTTTTTCTTTAGTTTGGGTGAAACAGGAAAAAGAATTTTCCCATTTCCTGTCTTTTATTTTGAAATTACACCCTGAGTTATGAGTGTGTCTTTTTTTGACGCAGATTAATGACGTGGTGAAGATTCAGGCTTTCATCAGAGCCAACAAAGCCAGAGACGACTACAAGACGCTGAGTGAGTCACACATGTCCTCCTCCTACAAGTGTCCTCATGTCCTCTGAATGTCTTCATTTTGTCTTTGTCTCTCATCACTTAACACAAATGTCTCCTCATGTCTCATATGATAAATGTCCTAATCTCTGCATGTCCATCATTGTCTCTGAATGTCCCCCCAGTCAGCGCTGAGGACCCTCCTATGGCGGTGGTCAGGAAGTTTGTCCACCTGTTGGACCACAGCGACCAGGACTTCCAGGAGGAGCTGGAGCTGATGCGTCTCCGGGAGGAAGTGGTCACCAAAATCCGGTCCAATCAGCAGCTGGAGAACGACCTGAACCTGATGGACATCAAGATCGGACTGCTGGTCAAGAACAAGATCACGCTGCAGGAGGTGGTGTCCCACAGCAAGAAGCTGACCAAGAAGAACAAGGGACAACTGTCCAACATGATGATGATGAACAAGCAGAGGGGCGGGCTGAAGGCGCTCAGCAAGGAGAAGAGGCTCAAACTGGAGGCGTACCAGTACCTCTTCTACCTGCTACAGGTGAGCTCACACCTGAGACAGGGCATCTACAGGGTCCTGTCGGGGACAAAAGGGACAGGAAAGAGAAGTTTGACGGAAAAATAAAATGATCTTCTGCATTCGATCTTAAAAAAAACATTCATTTTTCCGTCACAAACGCTGAAGTAATAAAGATGGAGCACTAGGGCCACATTAAGAAAAACAAAATTAAGACTTCGTGATTAAAATAAGTACTAACGAGGATAAAATCGTAGGAAAATCCTTATTTACGAGAATAAAGTTGTGATAAAATCATTATTTTTGAGAATAAAGTTGTAGTAAAGTAATTACTTTTGAGAATGAAGTGGTAATCATTATTTACAAGAATAAAGTCGTACTAAAATCAACATGTATGAGAGTAAAGTCAAAATAAAATCATTACTTACACGAAAAAAGTCATAAATTAAGTACTTTTAAGAATAAAGTCGTAATAAAATCATTATTTTTAAAAATAAAGTTGGAGTAAAGTAATTACTTACAGAAAAAGGAATAATGAAGTAATTACTTTTGAGAATGAAGTGGTAATCATTATTTACAAGAATAAAGTCATAGTAAAATCAACATTTACGAGAATAAAGTCAAAATAAAATCATTACTTACATGAATAAAGTCATACTTAAGTAACTACTTACATGAAAAAAGTAATAAATTAAGTACTTTTAAGAATAAAGTCGAAATAAAATCATTACTTACATGAATAAAGTCATAAATTAAGTACTTTTAAGAATAAAGTCGTAATAAAATCATTACTAACGAGAATAAAGTGTTAAAGTAAATACCGTCTTAGATCTGCTTTAGTGGAGGAGTAAATGTCTGAGCTGGTCACCTGCAGAGTTCTCTGCGGGTTCATCAGCAGGTCATTCAGAGAGTTTTTGTTGTTCCTCAAGAAATAATCCAACTGATGATCAATATTTACGATTCAGAGGGAGTCGAGCTCCGACGAGAACCGCGTCTGTCTCTGATGTCGGCACAACACCAGCAGGAACCTCCACCTGCAGAGGCACCAACACCTTATTATGGTGAACAGATTCATACGATAAACTAAAGACATATAAACTAAAGTTATAAACTAAAGTTCTAAACGGCTGATTGAGGGATTGAACCTCTGCAGACATTTACAGACGTTTCCCCCTCCTCAAAAACAGAGATTCCCTACAAGTCCGCCCACTTCTTTCTGAATTTCTTCATATGTCCTGATACTTCTGACCGTGTGATTCTGAAACACCGAAGGATTTATTATCTCCTTGTTTGTAAAACAAAACTACTGAAGTTCAATTCATCGAAATGCTCCACAGCGCTCGTTTCAACAACTAACAACAGGTCAGAATATTAGCTATGACTTTATTCTCATAAGTAATGATTTTATTACGACTTAATTCTCATAAGATAATTTTATTACAACTTTATTTTCATAAGTAATTCTTTTATTATGACTTTATTCTTGGACGTAATTCCAAAGTCGTATTTTTTTTTCTTAGTGTGGCCCTGATTCTCCGTCGTTAGTAAGAACTCGTCATGTTTTGGTCTTTAACGTGTTTCTTCACTCTGAACCAGAGAAGACATCTCCGAGGACGTCAGTCTTCTTCACAGACGTCTTTATTGATAATCACCTGTGTTTCCTGCAGACTAACCCCACCTACCTGGCCAAGCTGATCTTCCAGATGCCGCAGAATAAATCCACCAAGTTCATGGACTCGGTCATCTTCACGCTCTACAACTACGCCTCCAACCAGAGGGAGGAGTACCTGCTGCTGAAGCTCTTCAAGACCGCGCTGCAGGAGGAGATCAAGTGAGGACCCCACCACGATCAATGATCAATAACCAGTAACCTTCAATCAGTCCAGTAACACGGGTCACTCCTGTCCACAGGTCAAAGGTCGACCAGATGAAGGAGATCGTCACGGGAAACCCCACCGTCATAAAGATGGTGGTGAGTTTCCACCGTGGAGCGCGAGGACAGAACGCTCTGAGACAGATCCTCGCTCCCGTCGTCAAGGAGATCATGGACGACAAATCCCTGAACATCAAGACGGACCCGGTGGACATCTACAAGAGCTGGGTCAACCAGATGGAGACGCAGACCGGAGAGGCCAGGTGAGTCCAGGTGTATGAGACCGAGGGGTGGGAGAAAAAATCCGTTCACAGAAGAATCACGATTTTTTATTTCACAATTTTTACATCGAATTTTATGTGAAAAAAACGTTGTTTTTTTTTCAAATTTAAGAATAAATCTTAAAAACTGACAAACATCTGATGTGTATTTTGGGGGAAATATGGTTCCTGGAATAGTCAGTGGACAATCATAATCGCTCAGCTGTTTCACTGGAGTTAAAAACATCGATTCAATATCGAGGAAATCGTCAATATCGTAGAATCGCAGTTTAAATCGAATCAGGAGAAAAACATCGTCGCAGCTCTGATGATCGTTAAAACATGTCGCTTCTTTGTAAGTCTGTGAGACGGAGGACAGACAGAGGACAGAGGGAGGACAGACACTCTTAGACACTTTGGTCTCACAGGATGTTTGGACTCTGTCTTTGTGTCCTTCCTGTCCCAGTCTTATCAAACGGTCTCAAACTGTGTCTCATCTTTGTCTTCTTCTGGTCTTTTGTCTTACCTGGTGTCTGTCCTTGTCCTCTGTCCTTGTCCTCTGTCCTTGTCCTCCACAGTAAGCTGCCTTACGATGTGACGCCCGAGCAGGCGATGAGCCACGAGGAGGTGAGGACGCGACTGGAAGCGTCCATCAAGAACATGAAGACAATAACGGACAAGTTCCTGTCCGCCATCATCGTCTCTGTGGACAAAATCCCGTAAGTCCCCCGAGTCCGTCTGTCTGCGTCTTTGTCAGTGTCACAGAAACAGGGACGAGGACAGGTTCTCAGTGACGGTGTCTTTTGTCCGACAGGTACGGGATGCGTTTCATCTCGAAGGTTCTGAAGGACTCGCTCCATGAGAAGTTTCCGGACGCCACCGAAGACGAACTGCTGAAGGTTAAAACACGTTTTTTTTAAACTGACTAGTCTTTGGGGGGACAGCGGGACAAAGGACGGGAGGTGTGAGACGGAGCTCTCTGATTGGCTGAGAGGAAAAATGATATAAACAGAACAACATTCAGACTTGACCTTTGACCTGTGGATTCAGACTTGGTGAACTGGTCCTTTAATTCTGGTCCTCTGCTCTCCTTTACTGGTCTTCAGTCCTCTTCCATCCTGCTGTTCTCTACCTCACTTTGAAACGTCAGGATGGAAACGCCGGAACAGAAACGGTTTCTTCTCTTTTTTTTCTCATTTATTCTGTTTCTGACTTTTCCCTCTCTTTTCCCTTTCTGCTGCTTCCTGTTTCCTGTTTCCACCTGTCCAATCAGCTGCAGCCTCGCTTACAGAGCGCCATCCTTCTCTGCTGACGCAAAGGCGAGTCACGCTGATCTTCAGCCCCGCCCCTCCACTTCCTCCAAAAGCTGCAAGAACAGAAAGATCTTTAAAGAAATCACAGAAAACCAACAAAAAATATTAAAAATCAGATAAAATTAACTGAAACATTTAAAATCACTAACATGGATTTAAACTTTAAAATAACTAAAATTAACTTGAATAATAATAATAATAAGAACAGAAAAAAAACCCATTAAAAATCAGATGAAATTAACGAAAACATAAAAAATCACTAACAAGGACATAAACATTAAAAATTACTAAAAATAACTTAAACATTAGAAATGAGAGAAAACAAAATGTAACTTAAAAAATTACAAAAATTAACTCAAACATAATAAAAACACTGAAAACAAACTTAAACACAGAAAATCGAAGAAAATTAACTTAAGCATTCTAAACAACTAAAATGATCTTAGACATAAAAAAACGGAAAACAAAATTTAATTTAAAGAAAATCTAAAATTAAATTAAAAATAAAATTACAGAAATTAAACTTAACTGTTAGAAATGACTTGGATAAACTTCAATATTAAAAATGACTAAAAAAAGAAGGTAAAATAAACAAAAAAAATAATTTAATTAACTTAAACATTACAAAATATAAACCTAAATTTTAAAATTTCTATATTAAATTTTTTTTATCACATGATAAAAATGTAGAAACACAAAAACAATTCAATAAAATTAACAAAAAAACACACATTTTGATTTACATATTAAATCTTCAAATACACAAAGAACTTGTTTATTTTAATTACACTAAAACATAGAGCTTATGAATTTAAGTATATAGATAAAAAAAAATCAAAACATTTTAGTCTGTCAAACTTAAAAATAGATCAACGTTTCTTAAATTTATTTTTAAACATTTTTAAATCCCACTGAAGATCAGCCTCTGTAATCGTTTAAAGGAATTTTAACTGTTTCTGTTTTTAAGTATCTTTTAAATCTAGTTGAAGACGAGTCTTTTAAATCATTTTAAGTGCTTTTAACTGTTTCTATTTTTAAGTATCTTTTAAATCTAGTTGAAGATCAATCTTTTAAATCATTTTAAGTTTTTTTAACTGTTTTTATTTTTAAGTTTGTTTTAAATCTCAGGGAGGATCAGCCTCTTGTGGTTCAGCCTGTTATTTAAAAAGGTCAGGGTTAATTGGTGACAAATGACCCCTGGTTTAAAGTCACAGAGTGATGCTTTAATTGATGCTCAGTCTCTTATTTCCAAGTCTTTGATATTCATCATGAATAAATATTCAGATTATTTAAAAAGAAGCACAAACTCATAAAGATAACTTTGTTGTTCAGTTTTGACTCGGGTTTTTCTGACATTACTTTAATCTGAGGTTTTGTCATTCCTCGCCTCCTCAGATTGTGGGTAATCTGCTGTACTATCGCTACATGAACCCCGCCATCGTGGCACCTGACGCTTTCGACATCATCGAGGTGTCAGCTGGCGGTCAGCTGACCACCGAACAGCGGCGAAACCTGGGCTCTGTGGCAAAGATGCTGCAGCACGCCGCCTCCAACAAGATGTTCCTGGGAGACAACGCCCACCTGAACCCCATCAACGAGTACCTGAGCGCCTCCTACCTGAAGTTCAGGTGTGGTGATTGACACACTCCTCGTTATTGTCCTCCTCCTCATCATCATCCTCAGCTCCTTACTTCTCCTCTTCCTCCTGTAGGCGTTTCTTCCTGGCAGCGTGTGACGTCCCGTCTCTCGAGGACAAGTTTAACGTGGATCAGTACTCCGACCTCGTCACCGTCACCAAACCCGTCATCTACATCTCCATCGGAGAAATCATCAACACTCACACGGTGAGTACACTCTTCCTCCTCCTCCTCCTCCTCCTCCTCCTCCTCTGTAAAACATTCAAACATGAGATCGTTCTCTTCTCCGTCAAACTTTAACACATTTTAAAATATTGCAGCAGCTGCAGACTCAGTTTTTACTTTCAACCATTTCATGATTCTCTTATTTCCGTTGTCTTTGCGTAGCTTTTGTTGGACCACCAGGACGCCATCGCCCCCGAGCACAACGACCCGGTCCACGAGCTGCTGGAGGACCTCGGGGAGGTTCCTACAGTGGAGTCTCTGATCGGTGAGTCAGACTCCGTTCGTGTTTTTCTTCGCTCTTCTCATGTTTGACTCACTTCTGCTTTCTGTTTCGTGATGAAGACTCTGATGTTTGTAATCAGATTATTTCAGACTAAGAGAACTTGAAGGTTTTGGGGTTATTCAGCATTTCTCTGATTGGACAGTTTCATAGATTCAGGATATGTGGCGTGGAGGGCGGGGTTTGACGTACAGTTGATGGTCATGTCTGAGTTTGGAAGCAGCGACAAAGATCGTCGCCTCTGAACTGCAGAGATTTAAAATCTGGATTTTAAGAGATTTGAGCTTCAGCAGCTTTAATAACCAACCCTTGACGCACGTGTGTGTGTGTGTGTGTCTGTGTGTGTGTGTGTCTGTGCTCGTCCAGGTGAGAATCCTCTTCCTCCTGATGATCCAAACAAAGAGCTGATGGGTAAAACCGAAGTTTCTCTCACGCTCACCAACAAGTTCGACGTTCCCGGAGAGGCCAACGCAGAGATGGACGCCAGGACGCTGCTGCTCAAGTCAGTTCAGACGCCACTTCCTGATCTAGAATCACTAAAATTCATTTTCACAGTAGACCTCTTTACTAAACAGGAGGAACAGATTTAAAGGGGCAGTCTGTAGTTTTTTTAATTAATGTTCAAACAGCTGAAGGTAAATTTGTCTCTGCTGACGTGTTTCTACTCGAACTCCGAACAAACGAGAAACAAACATGTTTGTGGGAGGAGTGGGTTAAACTTCAGGGGTCGTTGTTGTTATTGATCTTATTGTTGGGATTGTTTGTTGTTGTTCATGTCTTGTTGTTGTAGTTGTTGTTGTTGTTTTTTTGTCTGTTGTTGATGTTGTAGTTTTTTTTTTTGTTGTGTTTTCGTTGTTGTCTTTGATGTTGTTTGTTGTTGTTGTTTTTGTTGTTATTTGTTGTTTTTTGTGTCCTTGTTTGTTGTTGTCATTATTGTTGTTTTTTGTTGTTTTTGTTGCTGTTGTTGTTTGTTGTTGTTGTTTGTGTCATGTTTGTTGTTGTTGTCATTATTGTTGTTTTTGTTTGTTGTTGTTGTTGTTGTTTGTGTCGTTGTTGTTTGTTGTCATTGTTGTTTGTTGTTGTTGTCATTGTTGTTGTTGTTTTTTGTTGTTGTTGTTTGTGTCATTGTTGTTTGTTGTTGTTGTCATTATTGTTGTTTGTACCATTGTTGTTTGTTGTTTGTTGTTGTTGTCGTCGTTGTCTGTTGTTGTTGTTGTCATTATTGTTGTTGTTTGTTGTTGTTGTTTGTTGTTGTCATTGTTGTTTGTTGTCATTGTTGTCATTATTGTTGTTGTTTGTTGTTGTTGTTTGTGTCATTGTTGTTTGTTGTTGTTGTCGTCGTTGTCTGTTGTTGTTGTTGTCATTATTGTTGTTGTTTGTTGTTTTTGTTGCTGTTGTTGTTTTTGTTGTTGTTTGTTGTTGTTGTCGTCGTTGTCTGTTGTTGTTGTTGTTGTTGTTGTCATTATTGTTGTTGTTTGTTGTTGTTTTTTTGTTGTTGTTTGTGTCGTTGTTGTTTGTTGTCATTATTGTTTTGTTTGTTGTATTTGTTGTTGTTTGTTGTTGTTGTTGAAGTTGATGTTGTTGTTGTACTCTGGTAAGGATTAGTCTGACCATACATCACAGGACCTTTTTGTCCTCAAAGGCCCCCGTAGATTTACTGACACGGAGGGGTGAGCAGAGGAGCGTCTCAGTGTAGAATCTGACTGTTAGGTTCCTTTAAACGGAGTATTTAATGTTTCTGTTTCTGATTTTATTCGTTCTGGTTTTCAGCACAAAGAGACTGATCGTCGACGTGATCCGGTTCCAGCCTGGAGAAACTCTGACTGAGATCCTGGACTCCACAGCCGGGACAGAACAGGTCAGGAACAAGATCCAGAAACTATGAAGAAACACGGTCGAGGAATCAAAACAAAAAAAAACAAATCCAGAAACAAGACCCTGAAACAAAGGCCGGACACATAATTCAGAGAGTTCTTATTTTTCTTCATATTAAAAAAAAAACTCGGTGTCTCCTGTAGTTCTCCGTCACCACATTTTAGCTCCACCCACCCTCCTTCGTCCTCAAATCGGCCAATAGACTTCCATTAAAAACAGGTTTTTTGAGCGTGTGTTTACGGCTCCATAACAACATATTAAACCTTTTTCCTGCAGTCAGTCGATCAGCAGGGCTCTAAATCTGACTTTCCCACAGTGAGACAACAGACTGAGCCGCAGTCTGAAGGTCCTTCAGATCATCAGGGGAGAAGATATCACATCTCAAATATGCAGTTATTTTTATATCAGTGTAATCACGGTCATATTTTGGTTAGAGGAGGATAAACACTCATTAATGATTCCTATCTGACATATATCTTCTGATTTTATATGTTTATATATAAAATTAATTTATTATGAACACATGAATTTGATCGTATTTGATTTGGTCGAGGACGAGGTTCGAGAAAAGGAGGAGAAAATGTCGAGTTTTTCTGCTCCAACAGACTGATCAGAACTTTATCACTAAATATGACATGATGAACAAAAACTGACATAAAAAGAGAAAAACATCAAATTTTTCATTTATCATTTTATTAATGATCAGGGCTGAAGTTGTTTAAGAGATTTGAGTCAAAAAAAAGTTTTTAAAAAAAAGATTTTTTTATGAATAATCTTCTCTGTATGTCTGTTTTGGGGACAAAGTCGACTGGATGGAGCTTCAAATTAAAATGAACCGAGAGTTAAAACCTGGAATTATGATCTTAAAAACCAAGATCAGGACTACGAGTTCAAGACCAGGACCAGCTGGAGGTTTTGGGAGAAGCCCTAAAACAGAAGGAGACCGAACCTTGTAAATCGAACTTTGTGGTTTTTGTCTCAATCTGTGACACAGGAAGCCGAGTACCAGCGGGCGATGCAGAGGAGGGCCATCAGAGACGCCAAGACGCCCGAGAAGATGAAGCAGGTGAAGCCGGTGGTCGACGACAGTCTGACTCTGCAGGGGAAGAAGGACAAGATCCGGAGCAACCTCCAGAGACTCGCTGAGCTGGGGAAGGTCCACCCCCAGAACCGTTACCAGGACCTGATCAACGACATCACCAAGGTGAGAGGTCATCAGGGTCTTCTGTGAGAGGAGGGGTCACAGAGGGGTCACAGAGGTCAAACAAATCTGTGCAGAACCTCACTCTGTCCTCGCCATGATGCGTTTCTGCGTTTCAGGACATCAGAAATCAGAGACGTTACCGTCAGCGCCGGAAAGCCGAGCTGGTCCGCCTCCAGCAGACGAACGCCGCCCTGAACTCCAAAACCAACTTCTTCAACGTCCAGATCGACTCGTATAACCAGTACATCAAGACCTGCATGGACAACCTGGCCAGCAATCGCAAGTAGGTCCAGATCCGACCTCACACCTGAAGAAGTGTTGGTTTGAAATGGCGGCACCTGTGGCGGACACGGTTGTGTAGTTGTGTTGTTGTTGTGTGTGTTTCGTTCTGTACACTGTCTGCTCCTCTGTGTCCTCAGACTGTCAAACAAACCCGGGAACAACAAGACCAAGAAGAGTAAGCAGGTGTCGCAGAAATACACGGCGGCTCGTCTGCATGAGAAAGGCGTCCTGATCGCCATCGAGGACCTGCAGCCGAACCAGTGAGTCCATCGAACGTTAGCATGTTTACCACGTGACCGTACCTGTCAGGTAGAGGCGGGGTCAAACCTTCAAACTTCACTGTATCTGTGTTTTTTTTTTTTTGTCTCGACAGGTTTAAAAACGTTATTTTTGAGATCGCTCCATCAGAGGCTGTCGGAGTTTTCGACGTGAAGGCGAAGTTAATGGGTGTTCACCTGGAGACGCTACAGATAGAGTATCAGGTACTGAAGAGTTCACCTGGTTCCTGTTGTAGACACAGTTGACAGATTTATTACACTGACAGTTTCAGACACTATTAAAGGGATATTCTGCTGTAAAATTAATGATGTATTGCAGGATAGAAATACACAGCGGTCTGAGGAGCCATAAACAAACCTCAACCAAAACGCCGCTCTATAGCCACAAATAATGCTCAGAACAGCACCTAACTTCATCAACAGGACATATAGGGTCACAGACATAGTACTATATTCAGAGTTGTTCTAACTCCTAAGAAAACATAAACTTAAGCGGGGGCGTTTCTCCACTTCTGTAGTCTATAAGCTGGGCCAATAAACTTCTACTGTAGTAAGATGAAAAGGTAAAGGTGTTTTTATTGAGCCGAATTATCAATAAAATCATGATTTTGTTAACAGGTATGGATTTATGTGCTGTTGAGTTAATATATTTGAACAAGAGCACAGTAAAGTTAAATCAGATAATTTTCCAATGAGGTTCTGTTACTGAATGGAACTACACCATGTTCTACTCAGGTTAGTACATATAGGGTCACAGACATAGTTCTATATTCAGAGTTGTTCTAACTCCTAAGAGAACATAAACTTAAGCGGGGGCGTTTCTCTGCACCTGAAAGGGTGAACGGATTTTTTCCGATCTTTTTTCTCTTTGTGGAGATCGCACTATAGGACCATGATCGCCATAGAAACAAGGGTCATAATAATTACCAATCTCTCCAGTAGTCAACCAGGACTTTAAGTGGTATTTGATGAAACTGTAAAGGTTCATATCTGTTATATTTACTTGATAGTGTCTGATTATATCTGCGCTCGCTGCAGTCGTCTGTCTGTTTTTGTTTAAACTGTATTTTTGTGGATTTTGTCAGTAATCCGTGTACCGTTTGTGTTTTTTTAGGATCTCCTGCAGTTGCAGTACGAAGGTGTCGCTGTGATGAAACTCTTTGATCGAGCAACCATCAACGTCAACCTGCTAATTTTCCTGCTCAACAAGAAGTTTTATGGGAAATAGAGTCAACAGAGGCGTCAGACTAAAATCCTATTTTTATGATTCCTGGTCTGATCTGAACCGTCGTCACGCTCCTCTCTGCACTTCTCGTCTATGCAATCCTCTGATTTTATTCAGTTTGAGCTTCTCGTAGAGGACAGTCTGTCTGTAGCTGCAGTCGTGTTAGACATTTATATGTTTATCTCTTAATATTAGAAACATCTCATGCATGAGCGCTGATCATTATAAAAACAGCTGTTTTATGTACAGTCACGTTTGCTGTCTTTATTTGTTTTTTCTCTTATTTGATCAGATTAACGTCAAAAACCAAAGAAAAGCGTTTTTTTTTTCTCACAGCTGGAAATACAGTTACATATAACTTTATTATTATTATTATTATTGTTATTATTATTTTTATTATTTGTTGTTGTTGTTGATGTTGTACCAGTGGTAGCAGATGTGGTGTTCTTGTCTAAAATTAAGTTTTCTGTAACATTTTAACTTCTTGTGTAAAATTAAAAAATAAATACATAAATAAATAATAATAATAGTAATAATAATAATAATGACAATAATAAGGATAATAATGACAATGAAAAATATTTCTGCAGATGTTGTTTAAAAGTAAAAGAGGTCAAAATTCTCCCTGTTTCTGTTCTGTTCAAAATAAAAATCTGCAGCTTGAAGTATTTTAATCATTTTTTAATTACTGTTTTTTTTTTTTTATTACAATGAATTTTTTTCCATCTGACCACAACATGAAGTGACATCACACAGGAGAAAGTGAGAGTTTAATTGTGATATGTATATATATATATATATACATACAAAGATTTTTTTATTGATTTATTGATTAGTGTTTTTATCTCCTGAGTGTGTCTGACTGAGTTTGATCACTACAGGAGCCCAGAGGGGACATTCAGAGTCAGTTTAAAACCAACTCCATCAGCCAGATTATTGTCTTTTCTGTGATTTTAGTGTAAAAGAACTTAAAGTTTGACGGATTGTCTGTTTACTGAGATTCAAAGGAGCTCTGATAAACTTTAAACCAGACTAAGTGATAATCTAAACATGATAAAATTATAAACCAGATAAAGGTGATAAAGCTGAAGAGCGGTTTAATCTCTGACGTTTTTATTTCACTCTCATCAGGCTCGTGATGAAGTTCAGCGACACGTCCAGCAGGTGTTGTCCTCCAAAGTGTTGAAATATTGAGATTATCTGCAGATTAAAAACCTCACAGTCCTGTTTTATCTAAATGTGTTTTATGAAAAATAAAGTTTAATTCTAATAAATAGAGAGGACTGTTTGTGTATGTCACATTTTTAACACTGCGTCGAGTTTCTGCTGAAAAAAAGACTGAACTTTAGGATTCAGATTTACTGAAATACTGGAACACATCAAATCAAGACTATTGTCAGATGGAGGTGAGTAAAACACTGTTTTTTATTAAACACATTTTCCTATTCAGACTACAACAGCAAACAGGTGTGCTTACCTGTACAGATGGGACCAGCTGTCACTCAGTACCAGCGAGGAAAACTGGAGAGAAATGATGAACATTGACAACAATAAATACACAAATAACTTAAAACAGCTCCAGAACTGACCGGAGTTTGTCTAATAACTCATCCCAGTGAAACAGGAACAACTTTAAAAACCCACCTGTGAATACGCCAAGAGATTCAGTGAGTTACACAAACTGAAGCAGAGGAGTGTTACAACCACAGCTGGTCTCCCATCGATCTATGTACCTGTACAGGATTTATTAACCTGGAATCTGCTCTGAAACACACGAGCCCTTTCTGAATGAAACAAATGACTGATATTAAGGTTTTCTACAGTATTTCTCATTCAGTCCTTAACTTTGTTTCACATAAAACAACTCTGTTAAGTTTTATTCATGGTGTCATCATTTCAATAGGTTAATTCAACTCTATCCCTGCCATTTAAATTTTATACAAAAAGGACAATTAATAATAATAAAAATGATGATAAGAAGCATTTGAATTGTGATTTATTAATGTGTTTTTAATTTAAATTAATCTTATGGTTTTTTTTTAATTTTACATAGCTATAAATATCTTTGTTCTTGTTTTTGTTTTGTTTTTTTCTCTCGTGTTTCCAGTTTTTCGTGTTTCTTATGTTTCAATCACAGTTACAGCCTCTTGTTTATGTCCGTGCGGTGGCTCTGCCTGGCGGACAGTTCGGGTACTGCATGCATGATTCCCCACTTCATTCGTTGTGGCGCCGCCTGGCGGACAAATCGGATACTGCAGGTATTTTATTGTGTTCTGTCAGCGTCGCCGCCTGGCGGACGATCCGGGACTCTCCACGGGGGACGCGGCGCTGTTTGCTTGGTTGTAGTTTGGGGGATTCGGGCGCTGAGCGGAGGTTGAGGCGGAGGTTTCGGGTTGTTGGTCGGAGTCTAACGAGATAAAAACGTTCGGAGCGGTTTTCTGAGAGGACCGGAGGCTCGGGAACGGCGGAAAAACGCGAGTTTGATTCGGCTTCGCTCGTTGATCTTCGCGGAGCCGTCGTGTTGGAGTTTGTCTTCTGTCCGTGGATTAACTCCGGAGCTCCGATATTAATTTTTAGGAGGAATAGTGGATTATAATCCCGTTTCCTGAGAGGATATCTGCGGTTTGTGGAGGATCTCGCTCTTGTCTTCAGCGGAGTAAATCGGTGTTTATTCCCGGGAGAGGAGGAGGACGAGCGGCGGACACTTGTTGAAATTTAGCGAACAAACCTTTGAGCTCTGCTAACGTTAGCTTTGACATTTAGCTGGAGAAGCTAACAACTTTCTCTGACAGACAGTTTGACCCCGATTTTTGTGTCATAATCCGTCTGATTGTGTTGACGGAGGCCGAGTTTTAAAGTTTTGAGAGAGTGTAAGTGATGATTGTTTTGGTGTGAGTGACAGAGCTAAGCTAAGTGCGCTAGCTGCAGCTGTTATCCTCCATTCACCTCTGTCAGCTCACGCCATGCTAACGTCAGATTCAAACAGGTGTTTTACCTGTTAGTGGGTCAGAATGAAGTGAGAGTGGGCGGGAAAGTTTCACTGAGCAGCTGGTCGTCAAATGGAAGTGAGCAGAGTGAGCTGATAAAAGCAGAGTTTATTTTATTCACACTTTAATCACGGGAACAAAACTTTTCCTGCCGTTAGCTTAGCTCGTTAGCCTGAGCTGACTGATCCTGCGGCAGACACTTCACTGAAGCTCCCACACACACACACACACACACACACACACACACACACACACACACACACACACACACACACACACACACACACACACACACACACACAGACAGTATGAGTGTCTGTACTGTGTGCTGAGTTCAAGGACAGTCTGAAAAAACAGACTCGAGTAGACTCTATCAACTGTCAGCAGCGGCCTCAGCATGTCGGGCTCCCCGGGAACAGGGGGCTCCAACCCCCGCAAGTTCAGCGAGAAGATCGCGCTGCACAACCAGAAACAGGCGGAGGAGACCCGGGCTTTCGAGCAGCTGATGACCGACCTCACTGTGTCCAGGGTGAGCTCCACACCTCTAATGTCATCTGGTTTAACCCGACAGAACTTATATTTCTGTGTAAATGTAGGAAGGTGTTCACCGTGGGGCGGACAGAGCTCTGATTGGCTCCCTGCTGACTGAGAGCTCAGGTATTCACCTGTAACCAGTCCTTCTAGTTAGTCCTCTGAGAGACAGCAGAGACAGCAGCTGGACCTGTTTAAACACACAGGACAGCAGCAGGAACACCTGTCTGCAGTAACACGAACAAATATTACATCATGTAGACAATAAAAATCAGACATTATAACTTATTAGGAGATATTAGGGCCTGTGTCCACTGACACTCAGTATGTTTACAGTTACAGTTTAATCGAACTAAGATCATAATTAGTTTTTTTCTCTGAATCAGACTTCTCTCCTCGTCCTCGTTTACATGCAGCTGAGAAAACGGAATTATTGATGTGAACGTGTCCTCCTCCCTAACACTAGGGGGCGATATGGGTCTTTTCGGCAGCGCTTTTTCCGACCCCATACAACCATCAACAACAACAGCAGGTCGGTGTCAGACGTCAGAAGTGTCTACAACTGCTGCTGGGCATTTTGGAGAAACAAGAAGATGGAGCATCGTACAGCGTTGTTTTTGTCCGACATGATGGACGCGCTACTTTTTCTAAAGATGAGACCAACGCTACTCCTCTACTCTGGGGTTTTTGTTACAGGGGCGTGGCTCACATGCATTGTCCGATCACATGCCGCCTACGCTGGTTACATGGTAGAGAAAATCGAATTATAATTGCATTATCTGGGTGTCTTAATCAGTGCGTTTCCATGACACTCGAGAAAACCGAATTATCACCTTATTCCGATAAAGACCGGACAACGTAAGTGCATGTAAACACCTTAGTCCGACTATTATCGGAGTTTGAGAACTCTGATTAAGACACCCAGACAAAAACAACGCTGTACGATGCTCCATCTTCTTGTTTCTCCAAAATGCCCAGCAGCAGTTGTAGACACTTCTGACGTCTGACACCGACCTGCTGTTGTTGTTGACGGTTGGATGGGGTCGGAAACAGTGCTGCTGAAAAGACCCATATCGCCCCCTAGTGTTGGGGAGGAGGCTATTCGTCAATGATATTTTCCAGTTAACATATAAACACATGATGGAGATTGTGTCGGTGTATTTTCAGCAGCTCTACCCTGGAAACCCTGTTTGTTGTTGATCATAAGATCCCTGCAGAGACGTGTGAGCTGAAATCAGTGGTTTTAACGTTGAGGAGAGGAGAGGTCAAACTTCCTGAGGGTCTCTGTTGAACATCATGGTTCCTCAGAGTCCTTGAAGAAGCAGCTCCTCTCCTTTACTGTACGAGGAATAAAACACCAACTCTGGGGAAAAAAAGGGACGTGGGCTTTTAAATTTTTCATTTCTATATAAATTATTTCTTCTGAGTAGAAAACCAGAGGAGATCATTGCTGTAAGACTGAAAAACGTCTTGCTGTCCATCTGTCCTCGGGTTCTGTGCAGCAGAGACCGTCAGTATTTGTTGGTCATTCATTGGTCCCTATTCACCAAAATGAACAGATACTTTGAGCTTCTATGGTTTGATGGTAGAGCAGCTGGTAACCATGATAAACACACTCATTGTTATTCAGTGTGGCTTTAGTTAACTCTCACTCAGAACCACACGCTGCTCAAAATGAACTGCTGTTTCTCCAGTTTATCTTGAACCCAGACGTGGTTTCTAGTCCCTTCTTCAGTCCCCGTGAGATCCAGGGTCTTTTCTGTCGATAAAATCAAGTAAGGTCGGTCTTTGAGATTCAAATTGTGCTCTTTGTGCAGTCGAAAGGAGAAATGTCTGTCTGATTTGCCTCCAGATCACAGCTGATGATTGGCTCTGTTTACTCTCCTGGCAGAACAAGTCGCCTTCTGTTTTCTGACAGGAAATCGCTGTGGTGCCTAATGGCGGCCGGTTGGTTTGAAGCCAGCCTGTTTGTTTCCTAGAGTGTATCTCTTTTCCCCTGTCCTGTGGACCTCTGCATTATCCAATGTTTTCTGTGAATTTGAACCACACTTTAATGTTTTGTGAGTTAATAATTATACGTGAGATGGAGCTGTAATGTGTACGTTAGAGCTGGTTATGTAGAACCCTCACCTGCACAATGTGGCGTAGAAATCTCACTGCTAGAGTTTGATAGACACTCAAATGGACAGTATGACCACACCACAGTCAGGAGTCAGATCTGTTTCAGGATGGAGGATTCATCCACGCCGTTCAGTCTTTGTTTCTACCAGGAGATCTGAACAAACACAGTCCCTCAGAAGGACCGGTCCATGCCCAGCAGGAGAGGAAGGTCTGAGTTGATAGAATGACAACACAAGTTTATTTTGAAGTAGAAGCTGTTTATGAAAAAGTAAAATAAAAAAGGGGAAAAGTCTGGAAACATTTTAGCGTAGCAACAATCAGATCCTGTAAAACACGTCTCCTTTTCATAGAAAAACAATGAAAAATACACCAAATATTCAACTAGAAGACATGACAGTTTTACCGATCCAAAATATCATCCACCAACTGACAACTTTATGATCTCAGAGGCAACTTCCAGGGAGCCAGGCCAACAGTGCTCCAACTCCCCATGGGTAGTCCTCACAGTGCAGTTCTCTTATGAAGTCCTCACAGTGCAGTTCTCTCAGGTTGTCCTCACAGTGCAGTTCTCTCAGGTAGTCCTCACGGTGCAGATCTCTTAGATAGTCCCCATGGTGCAGTTCCCTCAGGTAGTCCTCATGGTGCAGTTCCCTCAGGTAGTCCTCATGGTGCAGATCAGACAGGCGGTCCTCGTGGTGCAGTTCTCTAACATTGTCCTTATGGTCTAGTTCTCTCAGTTACTCCTCATGGTGCAGTTCTCTCGGGTAGTCCTCACGGTGCAGTTCTCTCTGGTAGTCCTCATGGTGCAGTTCTCTTAGGTTGTCCTCACGGTGGAGTTCTCTCAGATAGTCCTCACGGTGCAGTTCTCTTAGGTAGTCCTCACGGTGCAGTTCTCTCTGATAGTCCTCATGGTGCAGTTCTCTTAGGTTGTCCTCACGGTGGAGTTCTCTTAGGTTGTCCTCACGGTGGAGTTCTCTCAGTTATTCCTCACGGTGCAGTTCTCTCGGGTAGTCCTCACGGTGCAGTTCACTCAGGTAGTCCTCATGGTGCAGTTTTCTTAGTTTGTCCTCACGGTGGAGTTCTCTCAGATAGTCCTCATGGTGCAGTTCTCTTAGGTTGTCCTCACGGTGCAGTTCTCTCAGATAGTCCTCACGGTGCAGTTCTCTCAGCTAGTCCTTATGGTGCAGTTCTCTCAGGTAGTCCTCATGGTGCAGTTCTCTTAGGTTGTCCTCACGGTGCAGTTCTCTCAGATAGTCCTCACGGTGCAGTTCTCTCCGCTAGTCCTCACGGTGCAGTTCTCTCAGCTAGTCCTCACGGTGCAGTTCACTCAGGTAGTCCTCGTGGTGCAGTTCTCTCAGGTAGTCCTTATGGTGCAGTTCTCTCAGGTAGTCCTTACAGTTTACAGGTTGTGTTACTTTTCCTGTAGCCTTGCCTTTGGGACCAGGATGATCCCTTGAAGAGTCTTTAATCTTGAAAGGCGGGTGTTGGAAAAGAAGAGTGAAATCTCTGCTGGTTTTTGTTTTAGTCTGAAGAGAACTCCTCTAATGTTTTTTCATCTTCAGGTCAAGAGTTAACTGTGTGTGTTTGTTTTTTTATCCTCCCTCTTCACTGTCAGGTCCAGTTTCAGAAGATCCAGCAGCTCCGTCTCTCTCAGTCTCGGGCACAGTACTATGGAGGCTCTTTACCCAACGTCAACCAGATCAGCAACACCAGCACTGAATTCCAGGTGAGACCTGTCGAAGAGGATCAGCTGATAGAAAAGGAGCCTACATCTACAACTCCTGTAAAGAAAGAGTTTTGGGGAAAGTGTAGACCCTGAAAAAACAATAATGAGCTTATTTGAAGGCTGCAGTCCGAAGTGATGTTGACTTTTATTGGAGTGTCTGAAAACGTGTTTTTTTTAATGTGAGTTAAACAGAAGTGACGGTGAAGGAACAGCGATCAGGTGAGTCAGGTGTGAGCTGTTCAAATCACTGTCAGTCTAAAATCGAGGATGGACGGTCCAAGCCTTCGGTAGAGAAGAGGAGCTGCTGCTCAGGGCGTTAAATAATTTATCGGCTGGCTGGAAACAGAAAGAATCAGAGAGCAGGGTTTTTCTTCTTCTTCACTCTGAATGTGTGTCAGCTCTCTGAGGACGCGGCGTACTGGGAAACTCAGGCGTACTCTGAAACTGATTGAAGAGAACTGGGCAGTAAAAAAACCAACAAATGGACGAGGTTTCTCTCACTCTGAGCTCTCCTTCCTCCAGATTCACCCTGATGATAAATGTCTGAGTATTGAAATTAACAGCACTCGTACTTAAAGATTCAACATGAGATTGACAGAGAGTCTAAAGCTGCTCTTTCTCTAAAGAGTTAAAAAATGATATTCATTTATTGTGTGGAGTCAGATAAATAAGAATAGCTGATAGTTTGTGCAGGAATAAGAGGCATGACTCTTTCTCCAGGGGGCGCCAACAGCAACACAAACAGAGTTTCCTCAAAGGAGCTTTAGAGAGTTTTTTAAGAAGAAACAGGATGTGTTTGTCTCTAACAGAGCGGCACATTAAAACCACATGTAAAGATTTCAGATAAAAACTCAGAGTCTGTGTGAAACATCGAGACAGAGTTTAATAAGTGTGGAGGGCGATGAAGGAGACGAGCTGGACCAGAAAAAAAACAAGTCAAAGTTTCTTAAATATGCCGGATCAAACCTGAGCGGGTCAGTGAGGAGTTTTTTTGGTTGGATCTGTTTAGAGACACGAGATTATTAGTGATTAAACTACATAGAACTGTCTGAATGCAGCTTCCCTCCTCTGCTTCACAAACTTGACCGGAAAACTGTGACTTTTGGTTCTCAGGGTGGCTTTCCTTCTGGACTGGACTCTGCTAGAGGGACGCGTCACCATGGGCTGGTCGAGAGGGTCCACCGAGACCGCAACCGCATCAACTCCCCCCACCGCAGACCCATCGACAAGCATGGCCGGCAAATATCCTTTAGAGCTGACCTGACAGCTGATGAGGGAGGGGTGTGTGTGTGTATTGTGTACGTGTGTGGTGTGTTGTGTATTGTTGTTAGGCAGGATGACTCTCTGTGTAGGCAGCTGTTTGCAGCCTCAGGACCAGAATTAGTTTTCATGTAAATTTGAAACGTGACGCAGAGAAAGCTCAGTTCATTTCTGCCCACTGCTCAGTGACGGTTAGATTTTCATTGTGTGTGTGTGTGTGTGTGTTCACTCTATGGTTGGGAATTAGCTGCATTAAGGGTTGTAAGTTGATTTCACTCTCAGGTTTTGTATCTTGTTGTGACAGTTTGAAATCACCGGGCTGACAGTAAGGGGAGGTGACAGAGTCTCTGGTCCCTGATCTCTAGCCCTTGGTCTTTGGTCCCTGGTCCCTGGTTCAGTAAAATTTAGAGGAATGTGGAGTTGTGTAGGTGGGTCTGTTAAAATGTCTTGTAAATTTATGGAGAATCTTTGAAAACATGGTGAACAGGTGAGTGTTGTTGTTCAGTGACACTCCGACTCCCTGAGAGCAGAAACCTGTTCAGCTGTTGTTCGCTCATGTTTCTGTCTAATAAAGTTCAAGGATTCAGACTTTGTATGTAACACACAAACACAGAAAATAGTTTCTAGAGTTAACAGTGTTTTCTAGAGTGGGTCAGTGTTTCTAGAGTTGACAGTGTTTCTAGAATTAACAGTGTTTCTAGAGTTAACAGTGTTTCTAGAGTTGACAGTGTTTCTAGAGTCGACAGTGTTTTCTAGAGTGGGTCAGTGATTGTAGAGTTGACAGTGTTTCTAGAATTAACAGTGTTTCTAGAGTTGACAGTGTTTTTAGAGTCGACAGTGTTTTCTAGAGTGGGTCAGTGATTGTAGAGTGGAGGTCATGTTTCAAGATTTGACAGTGTTTCTAGAGTCAACAGTGTTTCTAGAGTCGACAGTGTTTCTAGAATTAACAGTGTTTCTAGAGTCGACAGTGTTTCTAGAGTCGACAGTGTTTCTAGAGTCGACAGTGTTTTTAGAGTTGACAGTGTTTCTACAGTGGATCAGTGTTTCTAGAGTCGTCAGTGTTTTAGAGTTGACAGTGTTTCTACAGTGGATCAGTGTTTCTAGAGTCGTCAGTGTTTTAGAGTTGACAGTGTTTCTACAGTGGATCAGTGTTTCTAGAGTCGACGATGTTTTTAGAGTTGACTGTTTCTACAGTGGATCAGTGTTTCTAGAGTGAAGGTCATGTTTGTAGAGTTAAGTGTTTCCAGAGTTAACAGTGTGTCTGCAGTGGGTCAGTGTTTCTAGAGTCGTCAGTGTTTCTAGAGTCGACAGTGTTTCTAGAGTTGACAGTGTGTCTACAGTGGACCAGTGTTTCTAGAGTGAAGGTCATGTTTGTAGAGTTGACAGTGTTTCTAGAGTTGGTCAGCTTTTGTAGAGTGGAGGTCATTTTTCTAGAGTTGACAGTGTTTTTAGAGGGGTCAGCATTTATAGAGTAAAGGTAGTGTTTCTACAGTTGGTCAATGTTTCTAGAGTCTTTAGTGTTTCTCGAGTCGACAGTGTTCCTAGAGTTAGCAGTGTTTGTAGAGTGGGTCAGTAATTGTAGAGTGGCGGTCATTTTTGTAGAGTCGACAGTGTTTCTAGAGTTAGCAGTGTTTGTAGAGTGGCTCAGTGATTGTAGAGTAAAGGTCATGTTTCTAGAATTGACAGTGTTTCTATAGAGTTCGGCTCTGATGTTGTTGAGTGGAGGTTGTGTTTGTAGAGTGGGTCATCGTTTGTAGAGTGGGTCAGTTGTTCTAGAGTGGGTCATTGTTTGTAGAGTTGGTCAGTGTTTCTTCTAGAGTGGGTCAGTGTTTGTAGAGACGAGGTCGTGTTTCTATAGAGGTGTGCTCTGATGTCGTAGAGGTGAGGCGCTGTTAAAATCCTGCAGTTTATCATCTGCTGAGTTTCTCCGTCACAGTCGTGTTTGATGGTAAGTTGTTTGTTCGTGAACAGTCACTGAGTGTTCTGGATTTTTCCAGCCTTATGCACACTTCATGTGTTTGATAACTTTGTGTGACAGTGATGATTCAGTGTTTGTGAAAAGATTCCTTTAACTGAAACCCACATGGAGAGCTCCCCGTATGGAGCAGTGTATCTGTCTCCTCCTCTGGACAACAACTGGAGAAGGTGAGAGACACACCTGTTCACCTGCTGACACAAAGCCTCTTCTCTTCCTCCTCTTACAGGAGGATTTTCACTGGAAGTCTTTCCTCCTGCTGTGTTTTTGATGCTGGGTTTGTGTTGATCAGTAGCTTTTGGTCAAGATATTGTATTTTCAGAGATACGAACCACTCATTTGAAATCTGAATTTTTAATTTAATCTTTTAGATAAAATATCTTTGAAGGTTCAGACAGATGTTTGTGCTCCTGTCTTTCTTTTCTCCTCTCTTCTTCTTTTCTTTTTCATATTTGTTTCATGAAGCAGCGGTGCTGTGCTGTTTTAGGAAGTTTGATCAGTTAATGATGTTTTTCAGCAGCAGGTTAAAATTCAGAAAAGTTCTGAGGATCTTTCAGCCTCTTTTAGTCAAATACAGCTGCAGCTTTTTGGTGTTTAAGGAGAGTCATGAAACAGATCAGGTCTGGATCTCAACCAGCAGACAGATGAGAAAAGGTAAATGTGAGAGTGTGTTCTGTTCCCTCTGTGAAGAAATGAGTGATGTCTGATCTCTGTCTGCAGAGAGGCAGGTTGGTCTGTAAACTTTCAGTCTGTAAACTTTTAGTCTGTTATCGCTCTGTTCGCCGTCAGTCTGTCCTCTGGAGTTTGCTGACTGTACAGCGGTGAGAAAAAGTCCGCCCGGTTTCTTGGAGAGGCCCTCTGGTAGTGAACGTGTTCCCTGTAGTCTCCTTAGTCAGTTTCAGGGTCAGAGTCCCACGCTCTCCTCCTCCATTCAGACATCTTCAGGCTGTTTCTCTGAGCCAGCTTCTCTCTGGGGATGAAGTCTCTCAGAAATCTCTCTCAGGATTTTCTGTAAAAAGGAAGAACTTTCCAAAGTCTCCTCTCTTGTTGATCCACGAGGTATTTAGTCCTCCATCACAGCGGTCTGTTTTCTGTTCTTCATTTCTGCTCGGAGACTTTCCCTTTCCTCTGACCTTAGTCCTTTCCTAAAAACCACAGCTTCAGATCAACACAGACACCAAAACAAAAACACTCTTTACGATCAGTGAGCTCTTCTAACCTCCAGTCTGGAGCTGTGACCTGAGGACCCTCTGTCCGTCCGTCCGTCCGTCTGTCTGTCTGTCTGTCAGGGTCTCTCTGTCACGATAACAAAGGTTTTTTTTCTCCTTTAACAAACTCTCTGTGTTTTTCTTGAAGTGTCTGTTTTCTGTCTGTCTAAAGGGAGCAGCAGCCGTGGATGGAGGACAAACGGCCGGGCTTTAGATTAATATCACAGCTCAACAGGTGACCTTTGACCCCTCTCTCTCTCTCTCTCTCTCTCTCTCTCTCTCTCTCTCCATCCTTAGCCCGTCATCCCTCGCTCACAGAGACACTAACACTCCTCTTCTTTTTCAGCCTGTTTTTCTGGTTTCTGTCTGTTTTTCTCCTGATGGAGGGATAAATCTCTTTTCTTAGTTTACGGCGGTCCGTCTGTTTCTGCTCATTAATCAGATTCTCTCCTCTTTTTAACCATCTCCAGCTCTCTCTCTCTCTCTCTCTCTCTCTGACTTTCAGCCTCGTTCTTCCTCCACAGCCTTTCATTCAGAGGTTTATTTTCCAGACTCTGATCAGCTGTTACTCAGTTTGACGTCACTCCACTTCGATTCCACTTTACAGAATAGAAGCAGTTTTTGTATTTTAGTGATTCAGTCACATTTTGTCTGTTTCCAAATTATTTTTATATTCATGAAGCTCATTATTTTATTATTGTATTTATTTAAATTCTCATGTTTAATTTGATCTTAAAGCTCATGGTTTCTTAGTGTCACACACATTTACAGTCAGAGTCTCTGACGCCGGAGCTGATATCAAACATTTCCTGATAAAAAACAGTAAAAGATTTTAAATCTGCTTTAAACTGGAGCGTCAACCAAACGGCGTCCTTCATCCTCGTCTCCTCCCCCTCAGGACGAACTCCGACTCCGCTCTTCACACAAGTGTCATGAATCCAAACCCTCAGGATCCCTTTGGTGTGAACCAGCAGATGAGCAGAGCTCCTCCCCAACGCAACGGTGAGCGACAGACGGACGCAAGCTCTTTATTTATTCATCGATAAATAATAGGCAGGGATTATCCAGAAATGACCAGGAAATTATTTCTATGATTATCCAGAGATTATTCTATTTATTCAAAAATTAAACTGAATATTCAGTAATTAAACTGTCAACATCCAGAGATTAAACTGTGATTATCCAGAGATAAAACTGTGATTATCCAGAGATTATTTTATTGATTCAAAAATTAAACAGAAGATCCAGAAATTAAACTGTCAACATCCAGAGATTAAACTGTGATTATCCAGAGATTATTTTATTTATTCAAAAATTGAACAGAAGATCCAGAAATTAAACTGAGATTATCCAGAGATTATTTTATTTATTCAAAAATTAAACAGAAGATCCAGAAATTAAACTGAGATTATCCAGAGATTATTTTATTTATTCAAAAATTAAACTGAATATTCAGTAATTAAACTGTCAACATCCAGAGATTAAACTGTGATTATCCAGATATTAAACTGAGATTATCCAGAGATTATTTTATTTATTCAAAAATAAACAGAAGATCCAGAAATTAAACTGTCAACATCCAGAGATTAACTGTGATAATCTAGAGATTATTTTATTTATTCAAAAATTAAACAGAAGATCCAGAAATTAAACTGTCAACATCCAGAGATTAAACTGTGATTATCCAGAGATTATTTTATTTATTCAAAAATTAAACAGAAGATCCAGATATTAAACTGAGATTATCCAGAGATTATTTTATTGATTCAAAAATAAACACAAGATCCAGAAATTAAACTGTCAACATCCAGAGATTAAACTGTGATTATCCAGAGATTATTTTATTTATTCAAAAATTAAACAGAAGATCCAGAAATTAAACTGAGATTATCCAGAGATTATTTTATTTATTCAAAAATTAAACAGAAGATCCAGAAATTAAACTGAGATTATCCAGAGATTATTTTATTTATTCAAAAATTAAACTGAATATTCAGTAATTAAACTGTCAACATCCAGAGATTAAACTGTGATTATCCAGATATTAAACTGAGATTATCCAGAGATTATTTTATTTATTCAAAAATTAAATAGAAGATCCAGAAATTAAACTGTCAACATCCAGAGATTAAACTGTGATTATCCAGAGATTATTTTATTTATTCAAAAATTAAACAGAAGATCCAGAAATTAAACTGAGATTATCCAGAGATTATTTTATCTATTCAAAAATTAAACTGAATATTCAGTAATTAAACTGTCAACATCCAGAGATTAAACTGTGATTATTCAGATATTAAACTGAGATTATCCAGAGATTATTTTATTTATTCAAAAATAAATAGAAGATCCAGAAATTAAACTGTCAACATCCAGAGATTAACTGTGATAATCTAGAGATTATTTTATTGATTCAAAAATTAAACAGAAGATCCAGAAATTAAACTGTCAACATCCAGAGATTAAAATGTGATTATCCAGAGATTATTTTATTTATTCAAAAATTAAACAGAAGATCCAGAAATTAAACTGAGATTATCCAGAGATTATTTTATTTATTCAAAAATTAAACAGAAGATCCAGAAATTAAACTGAGATTATCCAGAGATTATTTTATCTATTCAAAAATTAAACTGAATATTCAGTAATTAAACTGTCAACATCCAGAGATTAAACTGTGATTATCCAGATATTAAACTGAGATTATCCAGAGATTATTTTATTTATTCAAAAATAAACAGAAGATCCAGAAATTAAACTGTCAACATCCAGAGATTAACTGTGATAGTCTAGAGATTTAAAAGTGATTATCCAGAAATAAACTGTAATTATTCTCTTTATCAAAAATTAAACTGAATATTCAAAAATAAAACTGTCGAAATCCAGAGATTAAACTGAGATTATCCAGAGATTAAACTGAGATCATTCAGATATTTAAATGTGATTATCCAGGGATTAAACTGTCAAAATCCAGAGATTAAACTAAAGTTATCAAGAGATTGAAATGTGATTATCCAGAGATTTAACTAAGATTATCTAGAGATTAAACTGAGATTATCCAGAGATTAAACTGAGATTATTATTTTTACAGATCCAAAAGCTCACTCAGCAGTATTTCTGTGAATTCTCTGTAAAATATTTAATTTAGTTTTACTTTTTTTGTCTTTGTGTCTTTGTGCTAACGGCCAACAGCAAGTGTGAACGAGGCGGACATGGACGCTTCTGGAAACAGTGAGTTTGTTTGAGTTTTGTAAATCTGCATCGTGTGTTTTAGATCAAATAATTTAAGGGTTTTCCTCTCGTCTTTTCTCAGTCTTCTCGTTCCCTCCTCTCTCTAACGAGGAGAGTCTGATGGGAGTCAGTAAACCTCTGCCGAAGCAGCTGTGGGAGGCCAAAAAGGTGAGAGCGTCGCCTGTGATGATCTGATACCTGAGCCTGTTTGTCTGAAATGATGTGTCTTCATTTTAGGTTTAATGATAATTCCCATTTTAAACTATAAACTAACATTCACATTCTTTGATGATAACAATGAGCAGAAGAAGATTTTAGTCGTTTAAGTTCGGGTTTGATTTCTGCCTGTGGTTTCATTCCCAGGTCATTCTATGTTTTAATGATTAATTAGCCGAGTTAAATTTACAGTTAAAGTAACATTTCTAAGACCTCTGTTTGTGCTTCAGGTCCAGTCTCTGGCCTCCAGACCCAAATCCTGTGAAGTTCCTGGAATCAAGTAAGTCTGAGAAAATCATAGATATTTAATTTTAGTGAAATTACTCAGAAATCCTCATTAATGTGGTTTATATAATAGCTAAAGTTACTCTGAAGATGATTGTGTATATAAGATGTTTCATAAATCGAACATTAATATTGAGATCATTTCAAAGTGAAATTTAAAACATATTTAGTTTTTAACCTGAAACAAATTTGAAAGTTTTAGGTTTGAAGTAAATAAAACATTTATTTTGAAAGTTAATCGTCACGTTTCCTCTTCCTCTTGTCAGTATTTTTCCATCTCCGGATCAGAACCCGGGTTTCTCTCACTATCAGGGTTTGTTAAACTCGGGCGGTTCTCTGCCTGACCTCACAAACCTCCACTTCCCCTCCCCGCTCTCCACGCCGCTCGACCCAGACGACCACGCCGCCTACCCCAACCTGAGCGGAGGCAGCAGCACAGGGAACCTACCCGCCGCCATGATGCACCTGGGTATCGGCAGTTCACAGGGTGTGTGTGTGTGTGTGTGTGTGTGTGTGTGTGTGTAAAGTTGGTTTTTATTGGATTGGTCGATGGTGTTAGTCTGTCCCTGCTGGTCTCGCTTCAGTTCTGAACTCCACCTGTTCTTTCAGTCGGAGGAATCCGTGGGCTGTACGATATTGAAAAAAAAAAACAACATTGAAATTTTTTCCAACCCTGCGACATATATGACGATATTAAAACATACAGGACTTTTCTCCAGATGATCTGAATCTGAGTTTCTGCTGAAATCTTGAGGACAGTTAACCTGCTCTGATCCTCCCTCTTTCAGTGAATGTTAGTAGAATGGCTTCTGTCTGTCTTAGAGATATTATTAGTTTTTATTGTTCTGTGAAAAGGCACTGCGGACACAGAACAGGTGTTTGGGGACGTCATCCTTCTTGTAACTGAAATGATTCCAGATACGTGACGTTGCTTTTCTTTTTGGCAAGTCTTCTCCTCCTGTGTTTTCCACTTGTTCGTTTCCTCATGTTGCAATTGTTCTCTGCCGAGAAGTGCATCCACCTCGCAGAAACACTTGTAGTAAAGTGGTCCACTTAAATCTATAATTTCAGGGGCGTGGTTTCCTTCTCCTCTGATTTTGATTGACAGCTGGCAGGGTAGCCGAGTTGGCAGCTGAGTAAAGAAGGAATGTGATTCGTGAATGTCAGTGTATGTCAGTCAGCTACCCTTGAAATTAGATGAGTTCATCCACCTCCGACATCTCAGTCTCTGCAGCGTGACCATCGCGCACATGGACATCGCCATGACGATGCTGTTTGACTCGTCCGACGACTTCCAGATGGGTTTTAAGAAGAAGTGGACAGATGAGATGGTTGAACAGCAGAGCATCTGAATTACGCCGTCAGCGGCACAAACGTGATTCCTCAGATCATGAACTCACGTTTGTTGTGAAGTTCACCTTTAAATGATGTAAACTAGTTCAAACCACGAGGCTGGAATCTACGCCGCTGGGCTTAATTTAGCAAAGATGTGGATAACAAAAGCGGTAACTTTACCTGAACTCTTTATACGGTGACCTGGTTAGTTCGGTGAAGTCATTAATAACTTAACCATGTTCATGACCTGACCTCATAACCTCATTAAAAACCCCAATTTGACGTTGGGTGGGTGTGTGAAGCGTGGATAAGATCAGAAAAACTGTGATTTCTAAATCCTTTTCCACACAAGTTCAACTGAATCCTCTTCAAAGATCTTCAGCGTTCAGACTTCTAAACTTGATTGTTTTTGTAAATATTCACTCACTTTGACTCTGATGTCTGAGGGCAGGTTCACCACTTTGTCAACAACTGTGTGAGCAAACGGTTTCATAACAATGTTTAATAACGAAGTTTCTTCAGAGGTTTTCCTCGTAAATGTTGTAACTGTTTCGTTGTTTTTTTGTCCCTACAGGTCTGTCTTCATCTCTCAGTAATCCGTCCATTCAGGGGTCTCTCAACACCTGCCAGCTGCAGTCGTCTCTCAGTAACCCGTCCATCAACTCATCTCTGCGTCTGTCCAACAACTCCCCTCGACGGCGTCCGGCTCCCATCAGCCCCCTTACCTTGTCTCCTGGCAGCGAACAGCGCAGGGTACCAACAAAGCAGTTGTCCCCGACCATGTCCCCGTCTCTGTCCCCGATCACACAGGTACTGTCACCCAGAGAAACAACTGATAAAGGCTTAAAACAGGCAGAAACTTACAACAGACAGGAACTTCTAACAGGCAGAAAAACCTCCAACAGGCAGAAATTGTGGAGTCTAGAAACAAAGTGAGGTGGTTGTGTTGGTTCAGGCATGTCTGAAAACAGCAGTGGTGTTAGTCTGTGATGAAGTAGGATAGACTGGTATCGTGTCAGCAGCAGGTGGATTTATCGGGTCTGAGATCGGATTGACGGTCTCGGTCAGAGGAAGGACATGTTTTTTAAGTCCGGGTTCAGCAGAAATTAAATCCGTTTTTTTTTCTCCTTCTGGATAAATTAAATTTATGGAATATGATGTTTTTTTCTGCAGGGAGTGGCTCTGGATATGTCCAACATGCCACGGGAGCCCCCCCCACCGTACCCGCTCTATCAGCAATCCCAGCATGTGGTGGACCAGAGCCGCCAACGCCAACAGCAGCAACACCAGCATCAACAACCTGTTTCCCCCCTTCAGAGCGTCCAAGTGGACTTCAACGCAGGCCAAGTGAGGACTGGGGGGGTGGGGGACTGTGTGTGTGTGTGTGTGTGTGTGTGTGTGTGTGTGTGTGTGTGTGTGTGTGTGTGTACTGAAATCAGAGCTTCTTCTTCGTCCAGATTTGTTCATGAGTTTGTTTTTCTCCTTTCCTCTCTGACAGAACAACATGTCGGCGCTCTTCAACGATCCCTTCATGGACCCGCAATTCTCCAACCGCAGCAAAACCCACCCATACCAGGTACAAACACTCACACACACACTGGACACACACACACAGACGCACACGCTCTGGATTTGGAGAGGTTTGGAAATGGAGGGTGTTGTTTGTAAAAGCTGTGAAGACGATCAGAGGAGGAGGAAAACCAAACTGAGTTCATCTCTGATTCTCTCTGGTCTGTTTCCTTTGCACCATCTGCCTCCCAGTTGGACCAGTTCAGTCTGCTTGAAAACTCCATGAGCTCCACATTGGGGAGCGCCGGCATTGACCCATGCTCCTCCTCCTCCTCCTCACTCCTCAATTTTTCCCAGGCCAACCTATCTGGGCTCGGGGGCGGGCACGGAAACCTGCAGGACCCCCTGTGCATGAGGCCGAACATGCTGTACTCGAACTGCAGCGGAGGACTGCCAAACATCATCCTAACTGGTGAGTCTTACTGGTCCGACCGGTTCATATGAAAACAAACAAGATCAATAACAAACACAAATCCAGCAAGTACACTTCAACCCAAAATGATTATGATGATACCTGTCAAATACAAGGAAGTCATTAACTGTTTACACAGTGACACGTCAGTATTTCACCTCAGATTTGACATAAATAGGACACGCGGGCAAGTCTGGAACCATGACCAGTTCTGTTTTATGAAGTAAAACTGTTAAAGGTATAAAATCAAACTTTGACAAAAAGTCACCGTGTCTAAAATTATTCATACCCCAGTGATACCGAGACAGACGAGCACAGTTCTCGACTCGCTCGTGACATTTCAGTCATTTTCAACTCAACCTTTTGCCGTGGCAAAGACCAAAGAGCTCAGTGAGGACTTACGAGCACACATTATAAATGCCAAAAAAGAAGGAAAAGGACAAAAAAACTGCCAAACAATTTTAGGTGCCAGTGGCAACGTAGCCTGGCTGGGCCATCCTGTTGCGTGAATCACTTGCCGTTCCTTCCCACAACAGTCTGGACTTCGGCCCATTGGGAGCGTGTATTCCCGATCAGAAAATAACCGGGCCAATCAGAGACCGTGTTTCCATTGTTACCTGGACAACAGGGAAAGGCAGCCCCTGATTGGTCCATGTGTAGATGGAGACGTCTAACACATGCTGCAGGACTTTTCAAAGCGCCGTTTATTCAGAACGCCGTTAATTCTGCAGTTGACTTTGCAAAGTCGGCAGAAATCGCAGAAATCGTTATTTTCTGACCGGGAATACACGCTTCCAATGGGCCGAAGTCCAGACTGTCGTGGGAAGGAACGGCAAGTTATTCACGCAACAGGATGGCCCAGCCAGGCTAGTGGCAACGGCGCAAAGTATCATTAATAAGTACCAAAAATTTCACCCAGTCAAAAACCTCAAAGGTCGTGGTCAGAAGTCATCAGTTATTACCAGAAAGATCGAGTGAGATGTTGAAAACAATCCGAGGACGACAACCAAGGCTGTCCTGAAGGAAGTGAGCGCAGGGATGTGACTATACCGAGGCAGACACTCCAGGGGACACTGATCCAAAATGGTCTCTCTGGACGTCAACCAAGAAAGACACCTCTGCTTCAACCAAAGAACGTAAGAGCTCGTCTGACCTTTGTTAAGACGTACCTAGAGAAGGAGGAAAGCTTCCTGTCATCTGTTCTGTGGTCAGATGAAACCAGAATTAAACTTTCGGGCACAGAGATGTGGCGTTTATCTGAAGAAAGAACGGCGAGGACTGCAAGAGGTGGAAGCATCGTGCTGTGGAGCCTGCAAACTTCGTGAAAGTGGGAGGCACCATGAGGAAAGAGCAGTATGTCAAGATGATTGAAGAGAACCTGAACCTGGGGGAGAACTGGACCTATCGGCAGGACAATGATCCACAGCATACAGCCGAGGTGGTGGAGAAATGGTTCCAGGACTGTGATGTTGATGTTATGAAGTCAGAGTCCTGGTTTAGACCCCATCGAGAACCTCCGGGTGGAGCTCAAGAAACAGGTGACAGCGTGAAAACCCTCCAACCTCAAGGATCTGAAAACGTTTGGTCCAAAATTCCTGCAGATACTCCGAGAAGCTGGTGAGAAATGACAAAAACCGTTCGGAGGATCTGAGGTGAAATACTCGAGCGTTACTGTAAAAATTCAGACATTTCTTGTATTTGACGGTTATGGATCATTTTAGGCTCCTCCCCTCAGTGACCCCGCCCTCGACCAAACCACACCCTCAGGTTAAGTCTTAGATTGAACTTGAATATGTTAATGATTAATATGTGAATGTTAATGATGGTAATGATTACGGTGACCATGAGTAACCCCGCCCCTTTCTCTCAGATGACTCTAACCCGACTCTGGCGAAGGACATCAGCGCCGCCCTCTCCACTGTTCCTGAATGTTTTGACACTGAGGGAGGCTTCCCATTGGAGGATGAGCTCCGTATTGAGCCCCTGAGCCTGGACGGTCTGAGCATGCTCAGTGACCCTGACATGGTGCTGCCCGATCCTTCGGTGGAGGATTCTTTCCGCAGCGACCGACTGTGAACGCGGGAGTTTTATTTGTGCGTGTGGGCGGACCGTATCAGCATGAACCATTCAGACAAAGTGAACACACCTGAGAACACGGGTCAGAACCCGGTCCAGGATTAGGTCCAGATCATCTTCTCAGACCAAACAGGATGCAGTCAAGCTCGGAGTCTCCTGCTTCTCCGAGCGCCAACCCCCTGAAGCCATGGCAACAACACGGCTGCGTGTGGAGCCGCAGAAACACGCTCTCTGATTTCCCACGGCTCTCGGAGAAGCCGAGTCCGCCTCTGAGATGTTTCCGGAGAGAGCGCCGTTTCTCCTCCTTCAGGCTGTGAAAACTCTGAGACAATCGTGGTGGAAATGAAGGTCGAAGGGACGCCGATGTTGGATTTCTGTGGTGGTGACCCGTCTGTCACAGAGATGATAAAACACTATGAAAGCCTCGATTTTAATCTGATTCCAGAGTATTTTTAAAGAAGGGTTAAAAAAGGGCAAATTGTTTACAATGATGAGATTTTCATGAATATTTCTAAAGAGTCAACAGAACGAAAACTCCGATTCTAAATGTGAGACTTTCCCTCTAGACTAGTCAGCTGAACTCTACAGCAGAGACCTTTTCAAAATAAAACCTTTTTTTTTTCACGTTTATTTAAAGAAATGTCTGTACAGTCTTTGTTTTATTTTCTTTTTTTTACCAACTTGTGACGTTTTTGTTCATTTTGCATGCCCTGTGCTGCTGTGCGTCCGTTTGTTCGAAGTAGTTCCCCCTCGTAACACAAACACAGACACACACAGACGCAAAGAACAGACCGATCACGCGGAGATTGGACATCATGTAACATTGCACTTACTGTGTTTTGCACTATTGAATCCTCGGTGTGTCGTCTGACACTTCAGCATGTAGTTGGTAAAAACTCCCCCCAAAGATCAGAGCAATCATGAAAGTTCTGCACAAACAGAAACTGTTTTTATTTTTGTATAAGCGAAAAAAAGGAATTGGATGTTATTTTCTGGGCTTTGGTATTTTTGAAAAGAGTTCATTGTTACAGCTGATTATGAAATAAGTCACTGACTCTGTGCAGAAACGGCCTGGAGTCAGTTTTAAAAAAAGTGTTAATGTTGCTTTTGAAAAGACGGGGGACTAAAATATCTTTTATTGCTCCTTTAAGCTATGCAAAAGTTTTGTACTCCTGAAACCTGTTGAACATGTCCAACTTTACACATCGTGAAGGTTTTCTGAGGGCTCACCGAGCGTCGAGTTCTTCTCTGGCAAAAGTTAAAAAAAGAAATCACTGAAGAACAAGAGCGCCGCTTTAACAGAAATGACAAACATGTAAATATTCTCTTTTTTTTTTTCACGTAATTCAGAGCTTCTCTGTGCCGAGGACTGAGGACGAGATCGACTACGTTTATTGTTTTTTATGGAGAAGGGTGTGGGGGCTTTCATGAGACGGTGTCGTGGTATTTTTACTCCGTTTTAGTCATACATTTTACCCACTCTTGTTACTAATCTGTGAGTTTTTGAGTGTTGGAGCCATTTTGCAGTTAAACTTTTGAAAGCAGTTCTAATCCTGGTGTTTCCTGTCCTGCTGCCTTCTGCTGCCTTACTTTAATTCTCCTGCAGTAACTCGTGCCGGCTAGTTTCCCCTCCTCTCAGCTTTAACTTCGGTTCTTCGTGTCACTAAGTCCCTCTGTTTCATCCGTATTTTTTATGTCTTACTTTTTTAGTTTCATATTCGAATGTACAGCTCTGTTATTTAAAGTGTTTTGTCACTGTTGTGTTACCATTTTTATCCATGTATTCCAAAGTTCAAGGTCTCCTCTGTCTGTCTGTTTGTTTGTTTGTTTGTTTGTAAGGTCTGTCAGAGTGCTTATCATTCTGGTTTAATAGAAACAATAAAACTCTATACTGTCTATTAACTCCAACACAGAATGAGCTTCTTCTTACGTTTCACTGAACAGAACAGCAGGTGGTCCAGTTTTCTCCTCCTCAGCTGGTTCTGACTGAGACACACGAGGCAGGAAGGGACATTTTATCATCCAAGTCGATCCGAAGTACAACTACGACTACTTCTCCTTCTTCTTCATCTTTTTCTTTTTTCTTCTTTCTCTATTTTTTCTTCTCTTCCTCTTCTTTTTTCTTCTTTTTCTTTTCCTCTTTTACTTTTTTCTTCTTCTCCTTCCTCTTCCTTTTCTTTTGCTTCAACTTTTCTTGTTTTTCTTTTCCTTTTTTCTTTGTCTTCTTTTTTTTTCTTCTACATATTCTTCGTCTTTTTATTTTATTTTTCTTCTTTTCCTTTTTCCTCTTTTACTTTTTTCTTCTTCTCCTTCCTCTTCCTTTGCTTTTGCTTCATCTTTTCTTCTTTTTCTCATTTTCTTCTTTTTTTTTCTTTTTCCTTTTTTCCTCCTGTTCCCCCTCCTCCTCTGCTTCTTCGTCTTTTTCATTTTCTCCTCATCCTCTCTCTTCTTCTCCTCCTTCTTCATCATCTTTTTCTTTTCCTCCTTTTTCTTCTTTTCCTTCTTTTCCTTTTTTCTTCTTCTTTCTCTATTTTTTCTTCTCTTCCTTTTTTCTTTTTCTTTTCCTCTTTTACTTTTTTCTTCTTCTACATATTCTTTGTCTTTTTATTTTATTTTTATTTTCCTTTTTCCTCTTTTTTTCTTGTTCTCCTTCCTCTTCCTTTACTTTTGCTTCATCTTTTCTTCTTTTTCTCATTTTCTTCTTTTTTTTTTTTTTCCTTTTTTCCTCCTGTTCCCCCTCTTCCTCTGCTTCATTTTCTCCTCATCCTCTCTCTTCTCCTCCTTCTTCTGCACCTTCACTGCTGGAGGGAAGCTGTGCCCCCCCCCCCCCTTGTTTCCCAGGGTCCTTTGCAGGAGGTCAGCAGAGACAGTCCAGGTAAGAAAACCTTCAACTGTTTGATCAGCACTCTGGACCAGGTCTAACCCAGTCTGGGTTTCTCTGGTCTACAGCTGTGAACCTGGACCTGGTTTTCATGGCTATGATGTCCTCTTCCAGGGACAGGAAAGAGGAGGAGGAGAGAAGGAGGAGGAAGAGGAGAGAGAGAGAGGGGGGCGGGGGGAGGAGGAGGACTGAGAAGGAGGAATCGACGTCTCAAGACAAGAAACAACGAAGAGCTGGGGGAGAGGAGGAAAGAGAGAGAGATTGAGTAGGAGGAGAAGGTGAAGGAGGAGGAGAAGGAGGTGTGATTATCAGGTGAGTTAGTCCAACTGTGTGGTGAACCTCTGCTGCTCCATGTAAACAGACTGACCTCAATAATCACCAGGTAAGAAAACACAGGGGGGACAAAGGGGCACAGCTTCCCTTAAACTGTGAAGGTGAAGAAGAGGAAAGAGGAGGAGAAGAAGAAAAGAAAAAAAAGGAGAAGAAAGAGAAAGGAGAAGAAGAAAAGGAAGAAGAAAACTTTGTAAAGTCCAAGTTTTCTTCTTCCTTTTCTCCTTCTCTGCATTCAAGCTTTCTTGAGTTCATTAAAAAGAGACGCTGATTCGTGGGACGCGTTTTTCTGACCGATCGATCCAATTCATCCCGCACAAGCTCAGTTGGAGAAAGGTCTGAAGACTGAGGGGCCAAACCATCTTTTGAAGAACACCTTCCTCTTCTCTTTTGTCTCGGTAACCCTGACAGAGCTCGGCAGAGTGCTTAGGGTCATTGTCTTACTGCAAAAACAAACTTCTGAACCACAAGTCTGAGTCCAGATGGAGCAGCATGGTGCTGGAGGATGGAGTGGTACTGTTCCTTCTTCATGATACCCTTTACTTCAAACAAATCTCCTACTCCATCACCTGATAAACATCTCCATACCATGAACTACCACCTCCATGCTGAATTGTGGGTGTAACACATGGAGCTTTCAGACGTTCACCAGTTTGTCTGCAGACATAGACTCTGAGTTTGGAACCAAACAGTTCAAACTTGTTTCTATCATCATTAGTCCAGTTTTTGTGAGTTTTTACCCACTCATGTCTCTTTTTCTTCTTCTGTGGATGAAGTCGTGTTTTTTTGCAGATACACAACCCTTCAGACCAGCCTTTCTCAAACGTCACGGTTGTCAGAGATATGGGTTTCCACCTTGTCATGTTGATTTCCTCCCTTATTTGTGGTGCTGTCTTTCTCCGATCTCTCTTCCTGGTGACGATGCTCTGTTTATCCTCTGCTTTTGTAGTCACTCTCTTTGGTCTTTTTCAATCATCAGAACTTCCAGGTTCCTCTCGTCTCTTCAGAGTGTAGTGGACTCCTTTGTTAAACACCTTTAGGCGTTTTTCTCTTCCTGTGTTTCCTTCTTTCCTCGATGTACAAATCTGTACTTTTGTTTCTTTACTCAGTTGCTTCTTTTTAGCCATTTTTGCGGTAGTTTGATGCAGTTTAGATTTATCAGGATTCTTGTCTGCAGACTCTCAAAAGACAAAAAGTTGAAGTGAATAATCCGACTGTGATTTGTTTTTGTTTTTTTGCTTTTGCACTGAAGTTGTGACTCTTGCAAATGTTTTCGACCCTAAAACTAAGCCCTTATTGTATTTTGCTGACATATATTTAGCAATGGTCTGTTAACATCGATGTATATCTAAAGGTAAATGGAGTAAAACGGTGCGTTTCCATGAAAGCAACATCTGATCATGGAGTAAATACATCCTAAAATACATCAAACTCATGCTGGAGTTAAAAAAAGACTGTGAACAAAAACTTGAAGTTACTCCCAACTGTTCAGCCTGTAGTGTAGATGTGGAGCAAAGCTGCTTTTTTTAACCAAATAATTGTGTTTGTAGCATCTGAGGAGTGCTCATGTGTAGGATTGGTTATTTAAAACGTCTAATACCCTGTGTCGGTATTAAACGTGTGTTTAAGTCCATGTTTCACAACTTTAACTTCAAAGTTAATAATAACAAAAGCTAAACTAGAACTGAACACTCTCCAAAACAAGAAAAACAACAAGGCCAAACTAGGAAACAGAATGAGAAAATAAACAAAACTCAAATTGAAAAAAGTCCAAAAGGAGGAGCAGAAAGGCTGAATAGAAACTTAGTCCAGAGGTGTCAGCCGTGCCAACTATGTGCTGGAGCAGCCAGAAAGGGTTGGGTCGTGTTCTCGTGTCACTTTGATCACGCGGTGCTTCTATAAATAATGATAATAACACATTTTATTTGAAGCGCCGTTCACGTCACTCAAGGACACTTTACCGAACATATAAAACAATAACAGAACACTATTAACAATTAAAGTAATCAATCATCAAAACAGTTCAAATCAACAAAGCAACCAATTAAAATTAAATTAAAAAAGTGAGTTAGGTTTGGTGGGATGGATAGGCCAGTTTGAACAGGTGTGTCTTGAGTTTGGACTTGAAGAGGGGGAGGGAGTCGATGTTGCGGATGTGTGATGGTAGAGCGTTCCAGAGTCGGGGGGCAGAGCGACTGAAAGCTCCGCCCCCCCATGGTGCTGAGGTGAAGGTAAATCCATCAACACAAGTCTAAAAACACGGTCCAGTGTTTGTGCAGGTTTTGGTTTTGGTGCACCTTTAATGGAGGTTTACTCCCCAAATACTGACCCATTTACAGAAGTACTTAGCAATACTTAAGTACAGTACTCGAGTATAATTTTGAAGTATCTGTACTTGACTGGAGTTTTTTTGTGCCGGCAACTTTTACTTTTACTACATTTCTAAAATTAACAGTATACTTTTACTCTACTACATTTCACAGAAGCATCTTCGCTACGACTATTTTTACTTCGTTACCATGACAGCGGGAAAACACTCTCTTTCCCTTTTACTTAATGTTGATTTGCAATTTACTCGATCATCGTCAATCAGTCACTGACGCCCGAGCCCCCGAGTTACACCCTCCTAAATGTCCAGCGTCTGTTCTGATGGTTCTCCTCGGGTCCAACTTCTCTTCTAAGTTCCTTCTTGACTGGAGGAGGATGTACTATTGTTCCTCCTTATGTGTGTGTGTGTGTGTGTGTGTGTGGTCCATTTATTTGTCTAAGCTGTTGCTTGCACCCATCTTAAGTGTGTGCTTGTTTGTGCATAAGTAACTTTTGCAAAAAAAAAAAAAAATTGTACTTTAACTTTTTTCTTTTACAAAACCCAATTCCTTTAAAGTTGAGAAATTGTGATCAACGTAAATAAAAACAGAATACAATGATTTGAATAAACTACAGAGACAAGATATTTAATGTTCAAACTGATAAACTTTATTTATTTTTTTTGCAAATAATCATTAACTTTATTTGATGGCAGCAACACGTGACAAAGAAGTTGGGAAAGGTGGCAAAAATATTGAGAAATTTGAGGAATGCTCATCAAACACCTATTTGGACCGTCCCACAGGTGAGCAGGCTTATAGGGAACAGGTGGGCGTCATGATTGGGTATAAAAGCAGCTTCGCCAAAAATTCTCAGTTATTCACGAGCAAAGATGGGGCGAGGTTCACCACTTTGTGAACAACTGCGTGAGCAAATAGTCGAACAGTTTAAGAACAATGTTTCTCAAAGTACAATTGCAAGAATTTAAGGATTTTAACATCTATGGTCCAAAATATCATCAAAAGGTTCAGAGAATCTGGAGAAATCACTGCACATAAGCGGCACGGCAGGAAACCAACAATGAACGTCCGTGACCTTCGATCCCTCAGGGGGCGCTGTATCAAAAACCAACAACCGTGACACAGTGGTAAACATGCCCCTGTCCCAACTACTCAGGCACGTGTTCCAGCCATGAACCTGCTTTTATACCCAATCATGACGCCCACCTGTTCCCTATAAACCTGCTCACCTGTGGGACGGTCCAAATAGGTGTTTGATGAGCATTCCTCAAATTTCTCAATATTTTTGCCACCTGTCCCAACGTCTTTGTCACGTGTTGCTGCCATCAAATAAAGTTAATGATTATTTGCAAAAAAAAAAAATACAGTTTATGAGTTTAAACATTAAATATCTTGTCTTTGTAGTTAATTCAAATCATTGTATTCTGTTTTTATTTACGTTTATCACAATTTCCTTGAGTACTCTTGATACTTCAGTCGAGAGGATGTGATATACTTTAAGACTTTGACTTGAGTTGAATCCTCATGGGAGACTTCAGGTAACTTTACTTCAACTTAAGTATATTTGTTTAGTACTTCTACAACACTGTGTAGTAGAGAAGTAGAGGAGTCTGTTACCGACAGTGACACAGACGAGTAGATCGTCGGTATAGGACATGGAGTAATAGTAAAGGAGGACCCTGTAGAAAACGTAAAGGAACCTGCAAACATACTGTACGTCCAGATAGAGGTCTGTGTGTATAAGAGTGTGTATTAACTCTGCGTTCATGTTCATTAAACGTGATTTAAAGTTTAATCCTTTCTCTTTGAGGTGGTTTCAGGTCAGTCGTTCAGTCCTAGATTCTTCGATCCTAGATCCTCACGTCACGAGTCAGAAGAAAAATAATTAAATAGTATTTTGTTTTAAAAAAGGCGGGCGTCATACATCAATCAGTGTGTCTATTTTCAGTATGCCGACATAAAAGTCTTATTTCCTGTAAGCGGCGCTGGGTTACGAGAAATTAACCCGCCTGTTTACCCACATTTTTTTAACTGTGCCACATGCGGTCAGGGAGTCCTCACGATCGATGAAGTCAGCAGATAGATTATTCATTTATTTTTAAAAAAGGCTGTAACAGGAACAAACAGGAACAAGAGGTCTTAGAGAAACAACCAGCAGATACAGCTAACCAGGTCCAAAGTTCTGATAGAGGATCAACGAAACAGGTCAAGAATTTATATTTAGATTTGTTGTTTTGAGGACTTTACTGGGGCAGAACCCGACCACACAAAACCGGTTGGTTCCTTGAACTGGTTCCCCTGGTGGAAACTCCTGACGGCTTGTTTTTACAATAACACTTCCACACCTTCAAACTCTAATAAATCTTCTCCAAACTGGGCCGGTTGTTGTTTTGGGCAACGATGACTGCACCATGACAGGGCTGTTTTTTCAAGAGGCCGGTCTATCGGGGTCAAAGTCAGGGTGTAAGAACTTCACGTGAACACAAAGGCCAATTAAGACACTCCCATTCATCTTAATTGGTTCATTCACAGCCATGACAGACTCACAGTTTCCCGTTAAAGAGGTCTGTTCGACCCCCACTTCAATTCTTTGTGGAAAGGGTCACTGGACTTTTGTGAAGTTCTTGAAGACGTTTCGTTTCTCTTCTAAAAGGCGTCTTCACTTCAGGTTTGTCGGCAGAGTAGGGTTCAAACAATGAGTGAAATGACTGAAATGGTGCTGTTAACAAGATACTTCAACTCCTGCCCTTCTCTAAATCAGACGTGAACCCCCAACCCTCAACATCTCCAGTGATGGCTGTTAGAAAACCAGACCTGCCATCATCATCATCATCATCATCATCATCTCTGAACCTGTTTCTCTTGTCTAATTGGTTAATTGATTTAGGGTCCCACTCTTGGTTTGTTCTGGCGTACATATTCTCATTCATGAAGGCAAATTTGTTATAAAGGGTAAATATAATATATTTATGTAAACAAACCATGTGCAGTTTTAGACACTCATCTGTAATTCGATGTAATTTGGCACTTCTGCACTCGTCACTTTAACAAGCTGTACTGTAGTAAATGTCACTTTAAACACCTTTAGCACATGACACTTTAATTAGCTCTTTAGCTCTTTATAATTCTCTCTTTTGGTCACTTAGTTTCTGGTCTGTGTTCGTTGTTTCTGTATATTATGTGTGTGTTGTCAGTGTTTTACTGTCTCTGTCATGTTGTTTGTACTTTTAACATTATTGCTTTTATGTTTAATATCAACCTGCCGATGGGACTGGGGATGGAAATTAGCCGTTTGGCTATAATCCCACAGATTTACATGTAAATGTTCATCAGTATGGACTGTTCCCATTTTTAAAAATGAATAAATAGAAAATAGAAAAATGCTGCTTCACACGACGGGAAGAAACGAGCAGCAGAACTAAAATCAGCCCCGACTGTGAGAACTTTTACGTCCAGGTTAAAAACATTTATGGCTGAGCTCTTTAATAATCTTAAACTTTATCTATTGTTTCTGCTTTTAACTGTGTTTGTTTGTTTTTCTGTAAAGCACATTGAGTTCCCTTGGAATGAAATGTGCTCTATAATTAAAGTTGCCTTGCCTTGCATTCAGACAAAGACTCACGACCCACCCTGAGTGTCATGTGTTTTCAGATCTAACCCTCAAACTCCGATGTCCTATTTTAGATTTGTTCTCTTGCCGTGACAGTAGATGGGCTGTGCAACCAGGAACTGAGGGAACAAAATCTTTGCCAAACACGTTATTTTTCTCCTTGCCTCGCCAAGAGTTTACTGGCAGTCCTTTAACATGAATAATTCCTTTCAGTAATTAATTAAATTGTTTGAAATCCCTAAAACCAGTTCTGCAGCTGGTCTTATACATACACTTCATACCTGTCAGCCTGCAGCAGCAGCATCTGAGGCCAGGCTGCAGGTATAAAAGGTGTTCAGATGGATGTGAGCTGCAGAGGATCTGAAGCAGAGAGGACTCTGAGCATCATGGCCTTCACACTGGTTTTCCTGCTGCAGCTGCTGCTGGTCTCACTGGTGTCTGCATCACATCACATGGGAGGAAAATCAACCTTCGTCTTCAGAGGAAGAAATCCTGACGGGACATTTAAGGTGAGTCAAAAAAACACTTTCAGTGATTTACAACTTAAATGAATGAAAATGTGAAGATAGTTTAGTGAATAAGTAAAGAAAAGAAAGGTTTTATTTTGAACCCAGTATCTGATGACTGCTGACACAGGTGTCTCATGTTAACAATATACTTACTTTACGTTTTAACTTTGCAGAATAAAACGGTCTGGCCCAAAATCTACAGTAAATTATAATCCACTATAAAAAAACAATGATCCACATTCAGCAGCTCCAGAAGAATTCTGTTTTCTACATTTTTTAATACGACTCGTCCACTGACAGATTTTTGTTTGTTTTTTTTGTGACATTTTTTTGACTTGACTTTTTTTCCACAGGTGGACTTTTACAACAAGGACACCTATGACAGGTGTTTTTACTCACACTACTGGAGCTGTGTTGGGTCCAGCTGTGGCCCTACGCAGCCCAACTCCTTCGCACAGGGAGTGATCATCGACAACAGCACCAACGCTCCGTCCAATGAAAGACTCTGGTGTGAAACTGAATCCGTCCAAACAAGACATCTTACCAGCGACAGACCCGTGCAAATGAGGTGAGCTGAACCACGGATCTGTGCGGCTTCTGTCCGCACTTAGTCCTGAGGCAGAGTCACCTTTTCTTTCCTTTCTTTCTTTCTTTTTCTTTTCTTTCTTTCTTTCTTTCTTTTTCTTTCTTTTTCTTTTTCTTTCTTTTTCTTTTCTTTCTTTCTTTTTCTTTTCTTTCTTTCTGTCTTTCTTTTTCTTTCTTTTCTTTCTTTCTTTCTTTCTTTTCTATTCTTTCTTTCTTTCTTTTCTTTTCTTTCTGTCTTTCTTTCTTTCTTTCTTTCTTTCTCTTTCTTTCTTTCTTTCTTTCTTTCTTTCTTTCTTTCTTTCTTTCTTTCTTTCTTTCTTTTCTTTCTTTCTTTCTTTCTTTCTTTCTTTCTTTTTCTTTTCTTTCTTTCTTTCTTTCTTTCTGTCTTTCTTTCTTTCTTTTTCTTTTCTTTCATTCTTTCTTTCTTTTCTTTCTTTCTTTTTCTTTTCTTTCTTTCTTTCTTTTTCTTTTCTTTTCTTTCTGTCTTTCTTTCTTCCTTTTTCTTTTCTTTTCTTTTCTTTCTTTCATTCTTTCTTTCTTTTCTTTCTTTCTTTTTCTTTTCTTTTCTTTTCTTCTCTTCCTTCCTTCCTTCCTTCCTTCCTTCCTTCCTTCCATCCTTCCTTCCTTCCATCCTTCCTTCCTTCCTTCCTTCCTTCCTTCCAGCCAAGCCTCACTTTGACACTATCATATGATGACTTATCGATTATTATGATAAAGTCTGGGGTGGATACAGTCCTCCATTTTCACAAACTGTGTCCAGTTTGAGATTTTTTTTTTGCCTTATATTTTAATATATATACATATTTTTTTTGTCTGTTCACAAACCAGGGCAGCCAGCTGTTGTTGGATCGAAACACGTAACAACGTCCAAAACTGGAGGCTTCTGACTGCTTTGGATTTGGGAAAGAGATCTGACTCCAATAAACCGAACAGACCCCCGAGCTTCGGCATGTTACCTTTACTGCGGTGAGTCTCTGACCTTGAAACCGGTAAATTTTCACGAGTTCAGCCGAGTTTTATAACAACAGTTCAGCAGGGCTGCATATAAAGCTCGACTAACTGGACTTCTGTTCTCCCAGACTACAACCGACATGTGAGAGTAAACTTAATCATCAAAAGGTGGTGATATGACCCCTCCAAACTTTTGATCGCTGGGTCATCTACCTGTTGACCTACAGACCTTTTAGGGACAACGTCACAATGACATCTTATTAGTATCTGAGGGCAAAAAGGAGTAAAGATGGAGGCAACCACTAGAGGGTAGCAGGTGACCAACAGGAGTTGTAAAATCTTGTTAATAATGATTGAATGTCTCAAAAACTAAACTTGGACTGTAACCCAGCCTGTCAACAAAAACAAACACAACTTTGACTAAAAGTGATGGGAATCCCATCACCTTTAGTCCCATCATGGGATTAAAGAGGATCAGCAACATTACCCGTGAGTGTAGTTTACATTCTTAGAGATTGATTGATTGGTGTATTTTAAAGGTCCAGTTTCAGTTGTACTACTGCAATAAATCAGTTTTTGAACAACATGTGAACGCACTGAATAGTCAACCTCTTCAACCACTAGTTGGTGCTGCGTGCAACAGTCAAATAGCCACTTCTCCAGATTAATAAGAGCTATTTTCATCCTAATTCCTCTTTTCCAGCAGGATTGACTTGACCATCATCTCTCCTCTCATGACTTTTTGTTTATTCTTGCATCGGTTCTCAGTGACGTTCAGTTATGTAGGCCGTTTTTACCTGCTTTGTTTTCTTTCTTCTCCGCCCTGCCAACGGCCCTTTCCTCACTTGTGTTCATGTGTCGCCTCCAGAGTTCCTAAGAACTGTCCGCGGACCTACAAGCTGGTTACCCACGACCCTGACGGTGACCAAGTTCGATGCAGATATGGAAACCTCAGGAATGTAGAGTGTTCCAGTTGTGACAGACCTTCAGGCTTCTCCTTAAACCAGGTTAGCTTGACAGATAATTACAGAATACACTGTGGAAAACTGTGATCTGTACTCAGCATTAACCTCAACATTCACCTTGTCAGGACACCTGCACATTAGAATACAGAACAGGAAGGAACGACTACAGAAGTTATGGCTTTGAGATGGTGGTGGAGGACTTCCCCATGAGTCGCATCGCTCTGACCTACTCAGACGGGTCCAGGTCCATCAGATTCCCACTTCCAAAGAGGTGGAAGAGGAGTTATTATACCTACCCTTACTGGTACTATAGTACATATCCGTATACAACTACAACTACATACCCATGGCCAACAACAACTTATGACCCATGGACAACAACAACAACAACTCCAGCACCAACCACAACAACAACAACAACAACTCCATATCCAACTACAACAACTGTAACACCAACTACAACAACAACAACTCCATATCCAACTACAACAACTGCAGCACCAACTACAACAACAACAACTCCATATCCAACAACAACAACTGCAGCACCAACTACAACAACAACAACTGCAGCACCAACTACAACAACAACAACTCCATATCCAACAACAACAACTGCAGCACCAACTACAACAACTACAACTCCAGCACCAACTACAACTACAACAACTGTAACACCAACTACAACAACAACAACTGTAACACCAACTACAACAACAACAACTGCAGCACCAACTACAACTACAACAACAACAACTGCAGCACCAACTACAACAACAACAACAACAACTGCAGCACCAACTACAACAACTACAACTCCAGCACCAACTACAACAACAACAACTCCAGCACCAACTACAACAACAACAACTGCAGCACCAACTACAACAACAACAACTCCAGCACCAACTACAACAACAACAACTCCAGCACCAACCACAACAACAACAACAACAACTCCATATCCAACAACAACAACTGTAACACCAACTACAACAACAACAACTGCAGCACCAACTACAACAACTACAACTGCAGCACCAACTACAACAACAACAACAACAACTGCAGCACCAACTACAACAACTACAACTCCAGCACCAACTACAACAACAACAACAACAACTACATACCCATGGACAACAACAACTTATGACCCATGGACAACAACAACTACAACTCCAGCACCAACTACAACAACTACAGACCCATGGACAACTCCAGATCCATGGACAACTCCAGATCCATGGACAACTCCAGACCCATGGACAACTCCAGACCCATGGACAACTCCAGACCCATGGACAACATGGACAACAACAACTTCAGCACCTACAACAACTACAACAACTACATATCCACCTACAACAACTACAACAACTACATATCCACCTACAACAACTACAACAACTACATATCCACCTACGACTACATATCTATATACAAGATTCTTCCCTAGACCACCACTCCTATCCTCGACTTCACCTCTCAGTGAACTTCCTCTGCACTTTTCCTTCCTGGGTAAGTCAGGCTTCGTTTCTCTCCATTTTTGACCGCCTGTTTTTTTAACCTAAAGTGTCACTTTAGGTCTTATTACACTGATGGAATTAACCCTTACTGCTGAAACCACTCTCTTTATTTTAGGGTGTCCATTTCTCACAAACTCCAGGCTCGTTGTGTGGAGTCTCAGTGCCTTTTGAAAGTCTTTGTAGGTCTGACATGAGTGAGATATAGTACATATACATAGTTCTGTCCCTGTTTGGCAGCAGTTTCTCCACCAAGGGTCCGAGCTGAGTAGGATTTGGACAAAAACACAATTCCTCCACACTCCAAAAATACTAACAAAGTCCTTCTCTTTTCTCTCTTTTCAGTGGACAGAGCTGCTCCTTCGTGTATTCCGGGGCAATACCTGCCAGAGCTTGTGAAGCCGACGCCTGACCATGGAGACCACGTTTATATAGGGGTCGGCAAGGAAGTGAAGATCAAAGTTAAAGCACAGTCAAGATATTCAAGGTAAGTGAACAGCCGTCTCATCAGTGTGGCAGCAAACACGCTCATACTTTAATCAGAAATCAACGTGGGAATATTTGGGTTCTTTGTTTTCATGCAGGATTGATAACATCATCTTCAGTGGACCACAAGGAACCACAAAGCGCAGGACCAGCCCATCTGAGTTTGTCCTCACATGGACACCGACTCCCAGTGACCGGGGGCAGAGTTTCGTACTCTGCTTTGCTGTAGAAGCAAAGACAGGGTGAGTCTTTGGTTAACTTTCTTCTGGTTAGACATGATGCGGAGGTAAAATCAGAAGAATTCAAGGGAGAGAAAAAACAAGAACGACTTTCAGCAGGAGAAGTTTTAGATGTGTTTCTGTCCGTACAAATTGTTAGTGGGTGTTAGTTGAACACGCTTCTCTGGTCCGAGTTCGATCAGTCGGTCTTCCTGTCGGCGTGAAGAGCAGTAGCCTACAGTATATCTACAGTATATAGTATACTGTAGATATTTACAGTTTATATATTTTTTATAACTTCATAAAAAATGTTAAAAATCGTCCGATTAATCAGTAATCAGATTTTTTCCCCCCTAATAATCGGTATCAGCATCGGCCCCAAAAATCCATATTGGTCTGGCCCTAGTTCAGAGTCCGACACATTATCCTCCTTCAGTTCTGCCCAACATCTGAAGTCAGTCGTTTCCACATCTGTTATCTTGTTTTGTTCTTGTTTTATTTCTGCATGTATGGAGATGTGAGCAGGATGTGCTGCACCAGAAAACTAATTCCACCGACCCTGTTGTTAATAAATGATTTTGATCCTGATTCTCTGCTGCTTTTCAGGTCTAATGTCTATCAGTCTGACATGAGGTGTGTTATTCTGGACCAAGGTGAGTCATTAATCCATTTTTAAATGTTCATATTTCAGTGATTCCTTCTTTCTGCCGTCATTTCTTCAGCACTACTTTAGATTTAGGAACTTTTTATTATATTGAAAATTTAAAACCAAGTGTCAGTTTTGAGCAAATAAAGGCAAAATAATATCAACCTGTAGAGGATATTTTTGACAGAGAGCATGTGTGTTTTTAGGAGGTTTTAACTTCTTCTCTTTAGCTGCCACTCTCACACAGAGGAACTCACTCCGTCTGTGGAATAGTCCAAATGTTACATTAAAATGGTCAAATTGAGAAAAAAAATCAAGATACATGAAAATATTTACGAGTGAAAGCGTGATTTTTATGGCGTTCAGGTGTGAGATCATTAACAATTGTTTATTATCTCTTTCTTTAGTGGAAGTCAATGTGATCTGCAAAGAGTCCAGCATCAGAGTGGAAGTGGAAAAACTGTCATTCCCTCGACTCCATCAGGATCATTTGCGGCTCAGTGACCCCTCCAACGTCGCCTGCAGCCTGCAGACTCACTCCAACCGCACCCACGTCATCGCCGTCTTCCCTCTGAACGCCTGCGGCACCCAGATCGAGGTATCGCAGAGTCATTCGCAGCTGAAGTGAGTTGTTATGTTGCTTTTACTTTGCAGTTTGAGGCCTGAATGTGCGACCTTTGACCCTGCAGGAAGACGACGACTACCTGAGGTTCAAGAATGAAATCACCACGTTTGATGACAAGAGAGACGTGATCACCAGGAAACACCTGCTGGAGATTCAGTTCTTCTGTCAGTACCCCAAACGAGGGAACGTCACTCACAGCTTCCTGGCTCACAGAACCAGCACGACGGTGTGGGAGAAAGGCTTCGGCACCTTCACGTACCAGTGCGAGTTTTATCCCAACATGCATTTCCAGAACATGATCGATCCCAACTCCTACCCTCTGACGTACGACCTGGGGGACCGCATCTTCATGCAGATCGAGGCCACGTCTTCAGTCAAAGACACCGTGCTGTTTGTGGAGTCCTGCAGAGCTGCACCGTATGACAACCCCAACTACAAACCAGTCTACTCCATCATCGAGAACGGGTGAGTGGGATTTATGCCCCCTACTGGAAACACATGGAACAGCAAAATACGATTCTAGAGCCGGTCAGTGATCTTAAAAACAAGAGTGAGGCCTCGTTAAAAATCAAAGTAAAAAATAAAAATATATCAAGAATAAGGTCAGTGTTTAAATTAGAATAAAGTCATCAGACCAAGAGTTTCACATGTACGGTAACACTTTATAATGACCGTAACGTAAAAATGGTAAATAGGCCATTTATAAAAGGTTAGCATATAGTTTATTAATGTTTAATCATCATTTATAAATTGCATATAGACCATTAATAAATTTGACAATTTTGAAAACCTAACCCTAACTTTACAATAACCATCAAAGTAATAATAATAGGAACAGAAATGAGCAAAAGATAAAACAATAAAAAGCCTAAAAGGTTAAAAAGAAAAGAGTACAAGTTTAACAAAAGCTAAAAAGAAAAGCTGAAATAAGATAAAAGAAGTAAAAGAGATAAAAGATAAAAAATAAAATACAAGACAGCAATGGTAACATTTATAGATGGTTTAAAAAACAAATATCAACCATTTAAAAAGTGTTACTGACACACATTTTAATCTAGAATTCTTACAACCAGTATTTAAACCCTATATAAACCTTTGATAAATAGTACATTAATAATTCATGACAATTACTCATCATAGTTTTATTGCTTGAGAATAGTAAAGTAACTATTAACTTACATTAATAAACTATCTATTCAGCATTTATGAATATTGGTTATTGTAAAGTGTTACCAAAAGTATATTTCTAAAATAGTATAAAATCATAATTTTTGTGAGACACGTAACTCTCAAGTTTGCAAGAATAAAAGTACTTAAAAAAAATGTTTTAAATATCAAGAACGACGTCGTAACTTCAAAGAATAAAGTGATAATTTTTAAAAGTCAAAAGTCGACTAAAAAAATTTAATAAATCTGTAAAAAAAAAAGTTCTAATTTACTAAAATAAAGTCATTACAGTCTGGAGTTTATACATAATTAAGCTGCAGATGTCGAGAGTTCCTTATTTTCAGGGTGTTTGTTTCAGGAAGAAAGACTGTGAATGTATTTAGGGTTTAAATGTATGAGATTATATTTAATATTGTGAATATTGACACTTTTTAAGAGCAGAGTCATAAAATACTAAGAGATGGTTGGAGAAAAATGACAAAAATATCCAGATAAAAAATGTGAATGTATAACTTTTCCTTAACTTAGCGCTCCTCGTCCTGGTTGTAGAACTCTCCTATATTTTATCTCAAATCTGAGAATCGTCTGTATCGCGGCTTTTTCATGAGTTGTCCTGATATTTGACTTTGTCTGAAACTGTTGGCTCTCAGTCTCAGAAGTGTTTTTATCGTTCGGCCACCGTCTAAACCTTCAGTTCAGTAATACTTCAGCCGCGTTCATGGCTTCTGTTTTGAGCTGCAGGATCAGACAGGTCTACATAAATACCTTCTCCTCTCTCTCTTTAGCTGCACAGTGGACTCGACAGTTAAAATCCACCCTGCTGACCATGACCAACAGTTCAGGTTCAGCATCGAGGCTTTCAAGTTCATCGGTATGCACGACCAGGTGGGTGAAATGTGGTTAAATCGTCGTTAACACACAGTGAATCTTTTTTATCTCACTGGTTTCATTGAAGACATGAGGGATAATGAGCTTTAACAGCATGATCTGTTGTCCTCAGGTGTACATTACCTGCTCAGTCCTGATGTGTCGGGCAGGAGCCTCCAACACCAGGTGTGCACAGGGCTGCATCAAGTCTGTACATCAAAGGCGAAAGAGGGAAGCTGGGGCCCAGACCTCGGCTCACCTTGTTTCCCAGGGTCCTTTGCGTCTGAGGAAGTCAGCAGAGAGCCCAGGTAAGAAAACTCTGTCTGAACAGCACACTCGCTTTGTTTGAGACCAGGTTAGACTCTGGACCAGGTCTAACCCAGTCTGTCTGTCTCTGCTCTGCAGCCGTGAACCTGAACCTGAACCTGGTTTTCATCACCGGATGTCTCCTCGCAGCCGTGGGCATGATCAGCGGAGTGGTTCTGTACAAATCCAAAACCTCCAGAGTCAAATACCAGCCGCTCGCCACCTTTGAAAACTAGGATGGCAGCGTGAAATCTTTTATATCTTGAATATTTCCAGATATTGGGATTGTATCTGTTCAGGGTTATTGGGCATCATGTACTCGGTTGTTTCACCATTTAAATGAAGGATTTTTTTCTTTTTTTGATGTTTTCAGAGTTGTAAATAAAAAAAGTGAAGGGAGGATTGTACCTGTGCAAACAGAAAAGTCGATAAAATTTTGACATAAGGAAGTAAAAACGGAAGAAAAATGACCATTTAGCACTGCAGCTGCTGGGTGATCATTTTTGTGTGTTTTTAGTTATTGTTGTTGGATATTTTGAGCTTCATTTGTAACTTTAACTATTCAGAATTAGTCCAAATAACTCCATGAAACTGTCGTCCATGTAGGCGGAGTTTAATTAGTCAGTACAATAAAATCCAGTGAAATACAAACAAAGTCATGCAATCAAATACAACTAGAATATAATATGATCTGAGGCATTATGACTAATCCACATACAGTCAAGATTCATACCTGTTATGGCGCTACAACACAGGTGAAGTTTTGTCCTGCAGAAAAAGTTTCTTCCTGTTGACTTTCGGCTGTTGTGACTATCTTACTGACACCTTCCACTTGGTCCAAGTTTTCTGCATATTACAATATAAAAATCCTCCCTCATAAAAAACTGCTTTCATGTGATTATATCATGACTTTGAGAAAGTAATCTGATGTATCTGTGATACAGATTCTCTGTTTGCCGATGTAAATGTTATTCCACTTTTCCATGTCGTTGTTTCTTTTTCAATAAAGGAAATTGTTACTTTAAAAATATGTGTTATAGTGTTTTTATCCTCTCAATACAAAACAGAAATAATGATTCAGGCCTTTTACCAAGAGTCCAGTTTCTCATTTCATATGACTTAGTCTACGTTCAGACTGAAGGTCATTTCAGATGTTTTAACCATCTGTGACTCATATCTGATGTTTTCATCTAAGTGTGAACAGGTCAGTTCTGATTGGTTCTGATCCGACCCAGGCCTCTTCTGTATGTGGATATAAATCAGATATGTATCTGATGTGACTGCAGTGTGGGCGCTCAGGTCGCTTTCATCCGACCTTTACATCATCAATATGAGACAAACGTCACCATTGTTCGACACAAACAGGAGCGGGAAGCAGTTTGTCCTCTGTGAGCATGAGGGTCACTTCACGGACGCGTTCCGTTCACATTAGATGATCGTTGTTGTGATGTGAACGACCGCACAAAAAGATCGGATTGAACAAAAAATCTGAATTGTACATCAGAACCTGCAGAGTGAACTTAGACTAAGACTACGTCCAGTATCTCCACTCTCTGCTGCCCAGCGCTGCACTGTGAGCTCTAATCCTGACTAAATCTGATGCACAGACAGTAAATGTTGAAGTGGGGTTTTAAGTTTTTGCTCTTCATAACTATCTTTCTCTCTGGAGAAGCTCCTGTTAAATGAATCAAAACTTCATTGAGTGTAATACCACTCTGTCGTTGTATTTGAAACAGCATGTCCCTTCTATTTTCTCCGGTGAAGACAGTGTCAAAAATAAGCAGGGTGTTCTTTCTTTTTCTCAGAAAACACAACTTCAACATTTACAGGTGAAATACAACAGAGAGAGCGTGTCCCTCCCACTGTCCAAAAATGAGCATCAATATCATCCAACAGTTCCTCCTGGGAGTTTGAACAAATGGAGTAAAGAAGTGATTTAAATGGCATACAAAGGGTTAAACTCTTCAAACATGATTGACAAGTTTGGTGTTGATAACCGGGACTGATGTTGAGTTCATTATTTCAGTATTTTTTCAGCTAAACTAAAGTTGTTACTTATGAATTCAATATTTAAGACTGTGAAATTAAAAACCTGCTTCATCCAGGTTTTACCCTGTTTTTCCACAGGGTGGTGCTACGACTGTAGTTGAGGAATTGGTACACTGGGGTATTGAGGGTGGACGTTTATCATCTTTATAAAGGAGGAAGAGGAGGAGATCTATGATTAATTACAGTTTTTCTCACTCACTTTGGTGCGTTTCTCACATCAGTATCAACATTTGCACAACACTTAGTACAAACTTAGTACAAACCTAGTGGATAACCTGCAAAAGCGTCACTTGTTCAAAATAAATAGTTGATTCCTCAAAGGCAAATATTCATGTTAATGACAGTGTCTGTGTCATCGAAATAATCAGTCCTGACATCATTGATTATGAACACGACAGTCAAATGGATTTATCATGTTTCCATTCTGACTCTTTACTCTCTCTGTGTTTTCCAAAAAAGTCCGATCTTGGTGACTCTACCTGAAAATGCTCAAACAGCACTAAACACTCCACCTGTACAGCCATTTAAAAACTACAGTAAGGTTACACATTACTGCATTTAGAGAGGTATCTGAGTACAAGACACATGTATGTTTTACATGTTTACTGCATATGATCTTTGCAATTCTACAGCATTGTGCAATAAATATATATATATATATATATATATATATACAGTATATATATATATATATATATATATATATATATATATATATATATATATATATATATATATATATATATATATATATATATATATATATATATATATATATATATATATATATATATATATCTCTCACAGTCAGTTATTTAGAGCAAACATAATAAATCCCATTTTGGTAGAAGTGTGCACAAATACAAACAATATAACAGTACTTATTACTGTAAACTGAACATATTCCTGGACATTCACTGCAGTTCTCCTGACATTTGGTTGCATAGTGAGGCCGTGATTGACAACATGGTCCACAAGTGTTGTCCTAATTTCATCAGGGATTGGTCGATATACTTCACCTCTTCTTCCTCTGACCCTGTTTTTTCCCCTTCCCCTTCCTCCCCCCATTCTCACCCCTCCTTCCCGATGCTGACCTTCCATTTTTGTGTCACAGAATAGTAGAAATGGTAAACACTATCTCCTGCTGGTCTATATATGCTTGCCAAGTGAGGGTTCATGGGATTCAGCTCTGAGTGGTTTGTCATTGGTAACAACTAATGCTTCACAAACCTCCTCATGAGTGAAGCTGAGGTTCAGCTGAGAGCAAGTGTTCAATTTAGGAGAAATTTTCAGAAAAAAAAAAATGATAAAGAAATTTATTAAATTGTCTCAACAGATTTTCAGAACTAGTTCAACAATTTTGTTTGTAATGACTAAAGCAATGAAATGAGGACTGTAAGTTTTAAAGGACAATTCAGCATTTAAAAGTATTGTTAATTTTGACTGACATGACAGAAGTAAATGATAATGTTGTAAAACAGCAGAAAGTTGTATGAAAGTAGCTGAGACATGTCTAAGAGCATTTGTAATTTGTTTAGAGGAATGAGAAACGGCTATGATGATGATGATGATGATGATGATGATGATGATGATGATGATGATGATGATGTGGACAAATGACTCTGTGTTGGGGAGGTTGAATTAAGAGTTGTGAGAACTTTCACTCTGATCTGAGAAATGAACCAAAGCCACTGAGAAAAACTGTCATGTCCTGCACCACACTCCTGCACGGTAGGTGGCAGTAATGCTCCTCTAACATTGGTTGCCAACCGCCAAAAAAAACGAGCATGAAGAAGGCTTGTAGGCGGGGTTTTGTCTTTTACGTCATCACGCAGCTGGCGGGAGGAGTGACGCTGCGTTTCCTTGTTTTCAACACAGCGCGGGAGATTCACAGGAGAAGTGGACCGAGTTTGCGGAGAATAACGGAGAAGCTGTAAGTGTTCCGAGTTCATTTACCGTCTGTTTTTACCCGAATACATTTACCGCACATTTGGGGTCAATAAGCTGAATATTAAACACGATGAAAAGCACTTTTTGACGGGTCTGAAACAGCGTTTTATCGGAGAGAAACGGTCAGTATGTTAGCTTAACTCTCCAGTTAGCCAAGATAAATGACTAAGGAGGACTGTTGAGTGTTCAGGTCAACTTCTGCTTCATGTTTCCATGTCTGTTTCTGCTCCTCGTCAGTGTGCTGGTCTGTTAAAATGCCTTGTGAGAGGAAACAGCTTCGTTACGGACACTCAGAGGGACACACTGAAGTCTGCTTCGACGACTCTGGGAGGTGAGTAAAAAGAAGAAGAAGGGTTTCCCTCAGATCTGACATTAAAATCTACTCTTTTTAAGGTGGTTAATCATGTTTCTGCTTGAGTTAAAACATTTTCACCTGCAGAGAAAATTTGCAGTTAATTAAGTTAGGACGTAGGGGAGACTGGGGTAAGTTGAGCCAACCTCTTTTTCTTGGAAATAGTCAAAGAAATTGATCATGTGACCAAATATTTAGGAGATGGTCATCAATTCATGGAGTCTGTGAATGTTAGAAGCACATGGGTGAAGAGGTTAGACATTTATTTACAATAAAAACATTTTTCTTCCCTCTGTAAAGTGAATTTAGTCTTTAGTCATCAGTTTGATAAGAATTGAGTTCAGACCAAAAAAAGATCATTTTATCCCTTTAACCCTCTGTAGTCTGGGGTATAATCGGCTGTTTTTAACTACTCCTGATTTTATATTTCCCCTTAAAAACTGTTTACCTCGTCTAGTTTTGTATAATTTTTTTCAGCACAACCTCACTGTGAATTTAGTTATTTTATAATTTTGACAAACTGTATTAATGCCCGACACCACAAATTAAGGCCAGAAAATTCATGTTTTTTTAGAGCTGAAATGTTTATTTTATTCACTGCTGAAAATTTAAAAAATCTAAATGTCCTTAAATTTTAACAAATATATTTATTGATCTGGTTTGATACATTAGATGTTTTTGGAAACTGATAAACTAAAAGAGGACATTTTTTATCATTTATCAGACTGTATTCAGGAGTTATTTTCCTAATTTGTTGATCATATTGATTTGATAGAAGTGTATAAAAGAGGCATTAAAGGGTTAAATTAGTTTTATCCATCTGTTGTGGTCTCTATGAGCTCCAACATGAGGTCAGAAACCTAACAGTCCACCATTTTATCTTGGAGGACTAATAAAGTCATCATAGTAGTTCAGGGGGAACAGAGACAGTAAAGGAGTCTGAGGAGAGGATCAGAGTTTACCTTCAGACTGTTGAAACTGTTTCATAAATACAGATCTGTGAATGTTCTTAATCACTTAAAGACATTCTCATCTTCAAATGTTGTTTTAACAGTTGTATGTAATAATAATAAAAAGAATGATTGTTCCAGTTGAATAGAGTATAACAGATAAAAATACACATGAATGTGAAGAAGTGACTGTTATTTAGGGAGAGAGAAGGTGAGGGAGGGAGGTCAACTTACCCCCCCCATACACGGGGTACCTGACAGTTCTGTTTACACTCATTCTGTTGGTTTACAGGGATGAACAACATCCTGAAATATCTGCAGATACACGAGTTAGAGACAAAACTAGGACTGACTTGATGGACTGATCCCAAATATGAAACATGGTTCATCTTACCCCGCTCTCCCCTATATTGAAATGTAATCAGATAGAATGGTGTTGATTTCCAAGATGTTTTAATCTACTTTAAAATAGAAAAAGACGACATAAAAGATCTTAAAATTGATGACTTTTATCGTTGTCTGACAAAATTTCTTTCTCTCTTTCTTCTTTATCTCAAACTTATAGAACAAAAAAAAAAAAAAAACACCGAACAAAATATCAATACACCAAACAACAGTACATTTCAAGTATAAATTTACACAAACATGTTTGTCAAAAATAAACAGTTTGAGAAGAAACAGAATGAAGCAAAGAGTTGATCTAGTCCGGACCCTCCGGACCCTTCCTTTAAAATTAGAGATAAAAAAAAAAATCTAATTCTATAAATGACAAAGATCTGTTTAAATACCTCCATATTATACACAAAGATATCTGCTCAACACTAGTTTACTTATTATAATTATCTGCATATAATAATAATAATCAGTGTTATAATATTCTGAATTAATATCGCCTCTATGCAATCGAGTATATTAAGTATAAAACCATAATTTTGTTAGTTTATTTATATAAATCTTTTAATATTTTTCTATACTTTGATTTAAACGTTTTTATGTTATTGGACATTTTTAAAGTGACGTCCAGGCTGTTCCAGAGTTTAACCCCACAAACAGAAATACACAGACTTTTCAGAGTTTTATGGACAATCATCTCTAATGTCTAACTCTGTGTTACTGTGTGTTTGACCCTAACTCAATTTTACTTTGGAATATCCCTTTAAGCCCAGAAAATACACCGTCAGTTTTCATTCTACCTTCGACTGTTTCTAAAGTCTGCATGTCTTAAAACGTTCTCAGGTTCATTGTCACCTGTGGAAGTGATGGAGATGTGCGGATATGGGAGGGTCTGGATGATGACGATCCGAAGTTCATCACTGTCGGGGAAAAAGCGTACTCTCTGGCTCTCAAGGTTTGTCCCCTCTGTCTTCTGTCAGGTCTTTTTGAATTGATTAGGTTTTTTTTTGTTATTACTCATTAAAGCTGAGGTCAGAGGGTGACGGTGATGTGATCTTTCCTCCACAGAAAGGGAAGCTGGTGACGGCGAGCTCCAACAACACGGTGCAGATTCACACGTTTCCTGACGGCGATCCAGATGGCATCCTCACCCGCTTCACCACCAACGCCACTCATGTCACCTTCAACAGCAGGGGCACCAGAGTGGCGGCTGGATCGAGGTGAATAACGAAAACAGACGCGTAAAAAATGAGATCGTTTATACGTGATTTCAAAACCAAAAAATGAGCAATAATGTCAGTAAAAGAGGAACCAAACGTGTAAAGTCGATCTGTTGATTGTGTATCTGTGAAGAGGGGATGATGTTTCCACCTCACAGACTCAGAATCGCTTTATGATTAGTCTCGTTTGGACGTAAACGTCTGTTCGCTGCCTGGATTGATCGGCTCTAAACGGGTTTATCACAGAGCATGGAGCCGCATCGATGCTGCTGTTTTCAGGCAGGTAATGACTGCTGCGATATTGATCGTGAACATTCAAATATCCGAGGATGTGAGGAGATATTCAAGATCTGCATCCTGTGGAAATCAGAAATACTTCCTCATCGATTTGAGGGTTTGCGGTGGTGTTCCTCTGGCTGTAAATATACAAGAAAGTGTAAAATAGATTTCCTCAGAAGGTCTTTAACTTGAATTAATTCAGAATTTTGTTTTGGGGAAAAAAGTCGGTGAATGATTTTCTCTGTCAGGAGAGTTTGGGGATCTCTCCCTCAACGTTTTAACACCAAACGTTTCTTTTCCTCTCTTCGGTTTGCTCCAGTTTTTTCTCTTCTCTACCATCTTGATAATAATGATCTCATTCGAGTCCTTTTTAAAAACCTCTTCTGGATTTCCTCTGAAACCTTGTCCTGTTAATGGTAAATGCATCCGCTTAAACACATTACAAAGGTCTGGACTTCATGAGATCTTTAAAATCCGTGCCGCTGTAATCCTGCAGAACTTTGAAAGCTGAAGCTGTTCACGAGAAGTCCGTGTTTATGTCGTTTAGTTTAGTACAGCTTTGCTGGATTTACTGTGGCTGTGTTGGTGCCTTTCTCAGAATAACAAACAATCCAAAAAACAGAAACTTCCTCGACACGTGTCCCCGCCGTGAAGAAGCGACTTTATTTCTCCACAAATCAGGTTCTTGTTTTTGCCTCATAGATGGTCAAGAGAAAGTTCCTCTGGTGTTAATGCCGACTGCAGCTCTTTCATTTATTCACAGTATATTCATGACGCACTTAACGTATAACTGAAAGAGTCACTGCATTAAAACTGGAGGATTTCATTCCTCTGAAGTTCCAGTCAAACCCTCCTCCTCTGAAAACAGTAAAACAGGTAACTCTGGTGACGCTGTTCCACTCCACAGTCAGCCGGTTATTACTACAAACATTATGATGAATATTATTGTCATTGTCATTTTCTTTTATTATTATTTATTTATTTATATACTTACATTTACAGTTGTTATTTTCTGCTCGGGTCCCTGCTGGGTCGCGCCTGTTAGACAATGACCTGTGATCTCCTTGCCCTCCCGGCCTCCCCCCT